TCTGAACTTTATCTAATGGACAGCCTAAGACCAGCCTCAGCTACCGAAACTTGAGAACTTGAGATTCTTAGATTATATGAAACCTCATCTGAAAACAAACTCTCCCTGAAACAAGTAGAGTCCACAAATGCTGGAATTCCCTCATTCTCCTTTCACTGAACATTCCTACACGCCCCAGGAGAGATGTGTATAATTGCTCTGTACTTTTAGATCAGCACTGTCTAGTACTAATACAATGAGGACTATGTAAGCAGTTTCAATTTCCCGATACACATATTAAAAAGAGACATGTGGTAGGGCTTGAGAGATGGCTCAGCAGTTAGACATACATGCTGTGTAATCTTGAAGGCCAGATTGAGCATTTCAGCACCCACGTAAGAAGACACCTCCCCCAAGAACACCTGCTTTCCAACCTTGAAGTGGGAGGGGAGATGACAGAAAGGAATAGTGGTCTTACAGCTTCCAGTTTAATGAGAAAACATGAGGTCAGGATTCAGGGAGAGACCCTGACTCAATGAAATAGGTAGAGAAATAGAACAGGCCACCAGATACCCTCTTCTGTCCTGTGTGTTCATGTATGTACATACGCTAGTATATGTACATACACAGAGTAATGAAAATAAGAAAAAACTAAAACCTCCGTTTAACATATTTCAGCATACTGGTGAGTCTTCTCAGATACTCAATGGATACATAAATAAAGAACATCAAGGCCAGAGAAATGGCTTCGTGGTAGTACTCCTGCCTGTGTAGAGGATATAGGTTAGGTTCTTGGCACCCACAGGACAACTCATCCCATGTATCTCCAGTTCTAGAAACTCCAAGACTCCACACACATGGTGCACAAACATGCACTCAGCCCTCCCTACTAATATTACTATAATATTAATAAAAAGAAAAGTATTTTTAAAAATAAAGAGCTTTAAACTAAAAGTAATTTTGCTTCATCCTGTTTCTCTCCAGGTACTTTGAAGAGTCTGGCGGCTTCCTCCCCACCTCAGACACATTTCCATTCCATAGACATATGTATGTAAGTATGACACCATTGAGTTATATGGTGTTTCACAAAAATAGGTTCCTGGAAACAGCTATTACATGTTATCCTTTTACTTATACTTCTTGAAAATATTTGAAGTCACACAGTTCCAAAAGAAAGTTGTTCTGTTTAATACATACACATTGTTAAGCAGCAAAGTGAACAGTGTGACGACCCGTTACCAGAATAGGGATGTGCAAAACACACCATACATTTTGTATAGGTGCTCCTGGCATGGCAGTTCAGTGCCCATGGATAGTTCTTAATAAGATGATCATCCTGGCTGGGGATGTACTTCACTTTTAGGGTGTTTGCCAGGTGTGGGTTGGATCCTCAGCACAGCAGAACCCATGGGTCGCATCACATATCTGTCATCCCAGAACCAGTGGAAAGATCACAAGTTCAGTGGCTGCTCACGTACAAAAGAGTTTAAGGCCAGCCTAAATTACATAATGAGAGTCTGTCTCAAATTGAATCAAGAAACACAAACAACAGTAACAACACCCTAGTCAAAACTCAAATGACTATCCTGGCTTCACTCCATTCAGTAAAGCCTAATGTTATTAAATTCTCTCAACCCCTCTCTCTTCCTCAGATGGGTGTGGAGGCAGCATCTATACATTCAGTGACAGGCCGTGATGGCACATTCTCTGATCCCAGCACTGGAGAGGCAGAGGCAAGCAGATCTCTGAGTTCAAGGCCAGCCTGGTCCACAGAGCCAGTTCCAGGACAGCCAAGGCTACATAGAGAAACTCTGTCTTGAAAAAAAAATATCAAAAAGAGAAAAGACACATTCAATAAGATGATGATGATCCAGTACAATTCTCACCTCAAACTCTGTCCTCAGTATTTTTAGGAAGATCATAAAAGGTTGGATATTAAGTTTATAATTTGGTTTTGGGGGGATGAGAACCCCTCCAAATTCATATTTCCATCTGGAAACACTCTTGTTTGAACAACATAGCACCCTCTATTTGCCAGATAGGAAAGTAGTCACACGGTCCCTTGTGTTAGACACACTCTGGGAGCCTCCATGGACAATCCAGTAACAACTGAAAGGTGCACCTGGGTATGCAGAAGTTTGGCTTCAGCTTTTTAAACATCTCATCTCTCCACAAAGCCTTGACTGGCCTGGAACTCTCTCTATGTAGACCATGCTTTAATACAGCACAGAGATCTGCTTGTTTCTGCTCCCCAGTGTTTGGATTAAAGGTGTGCACCACCATCCCTGGTTCTATTAAACTTTGGGAAACAGGCATTGTGGGCTGGATGTATTCTTTCATCTATTCCATTCTGGACATGGACTGCTAGGAAACATTATTAGAAAGATTTAAGTAGAATGGTATCAATTCTGTTCTTGCTATTTTCCAGGGACTCCTGGTTTCTACAGTTTATTCTTCTTCCTGGAGTGTAATTTATTCACCTGTAAATTGAGAGGGTTGGTCAGGTGTTAAAGTCCCTTCACTCTCCAGCCATCTCAAAAGCAGCATGCTCCCCAGGCCTGGAGTCACACCTCAAGTGAAGATCTTCGCTGCACTTGGGAAACAGCCCAGGGCACATTAGCAATGTTCCCACTCACTTAGTTCTCCTATAATCTGTTTGTATCAGTGAGGAGATGCTATTTAGTAGGTGAAATAGAGGACTGGAGAGACTCAGTTTTCACACAAAACAGGTGGAAGTATGGCCCAGAGATAAGGATGGAATTCTGGGAGAGACTCATCTTTATCCATGGGCAGCTTTAGAAGTCCTTCGGCAGCAGAGGACTAGAAGGAGAGACTGTAACAGGAAGCTGTGGCTCTCTGACTTAACTGGTGAGTACAGTCGTCGGCTGATTTGTGCTGGAGAGAAGCAATCAGGATAGTGCTCCTTGGAGTTTCTGTGCCATATGGAATGACTTATGGGGTGATGTGTGATTGTGTGTTCGACAGTAAGACAACATAGAGTGAGTCTCTAGACATTAGGGCAGCTAGCATTCAATAGAGTTCATTGGATCCTTGAAAGGTAGATCTTCATTTAAATGGAATAATGTACTTTTTTGTTGAGCAAAAATCTATCTGTCTATCTCAGCTTTTTTGAGACAGTGTTTCTTTTTTGCATAGCCTTGGCTGTTCTGAAATTCACTCTACAGACCAGGCTAGCCTTGAACTCATAGAGATTTATTTCCCTCTGCTTTCTGAGTGTTGGAATTCAAGGCATGCACCACCATTGCCTGGCTTATAGATGAGCTGTGAAAGCCTTCTTAAGAAAGGTACCATGAGAAATAAGAAGAAAGCTGTGCAAAGTAGTCTGGTACTCTTGGATTAACCCCTGTTTATTTAGGTGGTGTCTATAAGTAACTTGTAATGTTATCTAAATAGTACAAGGAGGTGAGACCACAGCTACAGTCTTGTTCATTGGCTTTTGAGGTTTTCAGATTAAGAAATATTTGTAAGAAAGGATTTGTATGGAATGTAAAGGAGAAACTGTAGGACGGCTCAGTGACAGTGAGCTTGTGTCAAAGAGGGGTATCACTGGCAGGCAGGTGACACACACCTTTAATCCCAGCACTCAGGAGGCAGAGGCAGATAGATCTCTGGGTTCTACAGCCTGGTCTTCAGGGTGAGTTTCAGGACAGCCAGGGCTACACAGAACCCTGGTTAAAAAAAAAAAAAAAAGTATCACTGTGTGTGAGGCAGTAATGTCTGTATGTGCCCTGTCCTCAGAAGATCTCAAAAAAGACAGAATGGTCAGTGCCATGTGCTGCCAAGTAGTTTTATTTGACAAAAAAAAAAAAAAAAAAAAAAAAAAAAAACAAAAAAAAACTTAAGGCTGGTACTCATGTGGGTTTTAGATTTCAAAAATTTGTCTATTGACTAACATTTTTTAAACTTTCTTATAAAAAAAAAAAGTCCCAGTGTTTGGCCAGCTATTTGCAGTATTAGGGGCCTGATCCCTTCCAAGTACAGAGGCTGTTAGCATAATTCATGTGGGTTCCCAGGCCTGAGGATGCTGAGCCCATTACAGGCATTCTCATGATAGCTGTCACTGGCCCCAAGAAACCAAAAAAGAGTGTACATTTCCTCTCTGAGAGGAAGTCATGGGGTCTTTTAACAGAGTAAAGTTACTGAAGAACAAGGTGGGCTTACTTCTATTCTTACGGTTTAGCAATTAAAAAGCAAAAGTTGAAATCTAGAAATTGGAATCTGAACACACATAGCATCCTCCATAAAAAGGAATAAAAGCAGCTGCCTTGGAGATTGTGTGAATATTAGGTGTCTGTGAGTAAATAGCCCAGCATCTCCTTCATAGCAGATTCTCCAAAAACCTGAGCAAACATTCCTCTATTTTACCTAGGAGGAAATCTAGGCATGGAGGGACTCTGTGAATGGAAGGTTTGGATTTGTACCTAGTGCTATTCTGCGTGTCTCTAGATATCCTCTAGGAAGATGTGCTCTCAGTCATTGTGTGTGGCAGCATGAGTGATGCTTCACTTTCTTGCTCAGTCCATCTTGCTAGTGATGTACTTGGATGAGGCCTAAGATCCAAGCATGAGGCCACTGAGCAGAAACAGCCCCATGTCCACGGGAAGGCAAGTTCATCTTCACCATAAGAAGACTGGTCCTTGCTTAGGAAGGAAACAAACACTCTAGTTTCTGCCTTCAGTTTTCTCTGTTTGCTGCCTTATTTGTGCCACTAAGAGTGAGATTGATGTTGATGGTTATATGTGGGGATGGACTAGGAAAGAAAAATCTGTTTGGGCAGACTGCTTTCCCTGTCAAAAGCCCACAGCCCTCCCTCCACCACTGGGAGCTTACAAAGCCTTGGGTTAAACCTTTGAATATGGGTTTTCTTGGCCAGTAGAACAGGCCCACATTGATTCACAACATCATAATTTGCCTTCTGAGAATTAAGACACAGCCAGATACTGTGTGCTGAGTGCTACAGCCAATTATAATTGTTTCTTTTTTACCTCCAGATCAACACCATGATGCATCTTCAAGTCTTCATTTCAGGCCTCATACTGCTTCTCCCAGGTAGGTAAATGGGTGACCTGGGTGAGGGGGTTGCTGTGGAGGTTGGATACAACCTAGAAAGAATACATTCCTTGGTATTTGTTGATTATGAATTGTGTAAGAGAAGAAAACCGGGGTAAAACTGGAGCTCTGAAGAAATTATTTACTTCTATGTGTCTCAAAATTGATGGCCGAAAAATAGAACCACAAAAGCATGTGAGGAGTGAGTACATGTGCATGCATGTGATAGATTGGAAGGGGTGAGTACATGTGATCAACTAGTAAGGGATGATATGTGTGCATGCATGTGATCAGTTAGTAAGGGGTGATAATGTATAGGAGTATGGGATGAAGTTATTTCCTATCACACATTTCTATAATTTCAATATAATACTATTTGTGATCCTGAAAGGGTATTAGGAAAAAAAAAATCAAGTAATCTGTGTCCCAGTATGAAATATACTCTTTTTTATACAACAAAGATTGTGCTTTCTCAGGTCATCCCAAACTCACAACTTAGGTTTACATACAGGTGACTAGTTAATGAATCTCACAGCTAATTGTTTTGTGTTCTCGGTTGGCTGGCTGGCTGGCTGGCTGGCTGGTTGGCTGGTTGTTTGGGTGGGTGGCTCACTGGTTGATTGGTTAGTTGGCTGCTTGGTTTATTCCTATGCTAGGATCCATCCAGGGCCAGGCATGGGCTAGCCAAGCACTATATAATTGAGCTCCATCCTCAGCGCTCAGAGTTCCTTCAAAGGCCACTGTGGAAACCATTGACAGAGTTTTTCTTCCACCATCCAAAAAATCACATATTTAACTTTTTGTTTTAGTTGCAGAAATTTCATGATTTAGTTCTGGACTGAATAATCTCCAGTCTTGTGACCTTCCTGTGTAATTGGTTCCCAGTTTCTGGGATGCCATCCACTTATAACAAGGAATCCCCTGCTTGGATTTTTCTCCTTAAGGACTGATCCTAAAACCTCACTCCTCCTTGTAGGGTTCCAAAATCCTTTCTGAAAATTGATGTTGAAGATTTCTGCCTTTGAGTTTATAAAGCTGTAAATGAAACCTTGGACTTGTTATTTGTAGCGGAGAGGAGGGTAAGGAGTTGATGATTCCACTTAAAACAACAGAAAGGGGAGGAACAGGGGTTCTCTAGGGCAGCATCTCCTGAATTCAGGTTGATCTTGAATTCAATAATCATCCAAGACTGGCTTTGAACTTGTGACTTTCCTGCTTACGTGCCCATGTTCTTGGTTTACAGACACCCATCAATACACCCAGCTTCCAGGGCAGTGAGTGTACATTTAAAAACTTAAACTTGACATGCAGTTTGCATTCCCCTGTCCCAGTTAGCTAAGAGCAGCTCTAGTCTTGCCCAGGAAAGAGCTCACCAGCTGGAATTCTAATACCAAATGGTCAGCTCTGAACACATATACAGATATACAGTAACATCAAGATGGAGCAGGTTGTATTCATGTATTTCAGAATACACGTACACACACACATATAATACATATATTGCTTTACATATGTGCATGTGAAACAATTAATGAAAAAATAGGCCATGAATCTTAAAGAGAGCAAAGAGGACCACATGTGAAGGTTTCAGGGGAGGAGAGGAAAAAGGGAAAATGAAGTAATCATAATCTACAAAAATAAAATAAATAACTTAAAAATTAAATTAGAGCTAGCCTCGGTGGTGCATGTTTGTAATTTCATCTCTCAGGCATCAAGCAAAGGAGGATAGTAAGTCAAGCAAACTCAGACTACAGAGAAAGATCCTGGATTAAAACAAACCAACAGGTCAGGTATGGTGGGGACTTTAACCCCAACCCTCATGAGGTAGATGCAAAAGAAGCTCTAACAGTTTCAGGCTAGATAGTTTATAAGTGGGTTCTAAGCCTGCCAGAGCTACACAGTGAGCTCTGACTCAAACAGCAAAATGAAAGAAAGGCAAACTAGCCACAACAACCAAAAGTTTGTGTGTGTGTGAGACAGAGAGAGAGAGAGAGACAGAGAGAGAGAGAGAGAGAGACAGAGAGAGAGAGAGAGAGGGAGGGAGGGAAGGAAGGAGAGAATGCTAGAGTGCATGTCTCCAATGCATCATGGCCCATGTTCAATCCTCAACTGACACAAAAAGGAAAATCGAAAACAAATGCAGACATAATAATAAAACTGTCGGAAACCATTGATAACTTATTCTCTGTTTCCCCTTCTTTACTACAGATGCTATAGAATCTTTCGCAGAAGTGCATGGAGTGGTGGGTCGCCCTGTGACACTGCCATGTACTTATCCTGTATCTCATGGAATCTCACCCACATGTTGGGGCCAAGGGGCTTGTTTTTTTGGTAAATGTAAAGATGTTGTTATTCTGACCAATGGATACTATGTCTACTATAAGAGGAACAATCGTTACCACCTACCAGGGAAGATTCTTCAAGGAAATGTGTCTTTGACAATACAGAAAGTCAGGGAGAGTGACAGTGGTCTCTACTGCTGCCGAGTGGAAATGAAGGGATGGGAAGGTGTACACAGACTGACCATCTCACTGAAAGTTCAACCAGGTAAGCTGGCCTTGTTGCTTTGCTTATTTCTTGCAAGTGGGCTGAGTCCTCTGTTTACTACTAATTTGTTTTTTCCTAGAACAAAGAAATGAAGGCTCTTATAAGTATTTTTGCTATTGAACACTTAATTTTTTTTCTTGTTTTTAAATGTAATCTCATGTATCTTGATGTCTGTAGCTCTTTAGTCCTGATAACACAAGAAAGTTTTAATATTCCTTTTGAGCCACAGAATACCTTTTATATGCTTGGACGAAGCCCTAATATGGACCTTAATTCAAGACCAAGAGCCTAGGACAGATCCTAACTGTACTTGAGACAGTCTTATTGTTCCATGAAACTGCATCCACTCTTCATCCTGAAACAGTGGGAACTTGATTTAAACTCAAGTGACTGGAATGAAAGGGTATCACTGCCTCTTAGTTAGTGTCTTGTGACATTATATCACCTGTCCTCTACACTGTAGAAGCACACCAGCTCTAACCTGAAATGCAGGCAATGCAGGGTTCTGCTGTGCTGATGACCTGGCTTCAACAGGGTCAGCTGCCCTTACTGAGCAAGGCCACATGTATAGGTGGAGAGTTCTACTCCATGTCTGCCCTGCCTTGGGCTCTTAAAATAGTTCTCACATCGTGTCATAAAATTATCCTTTTACATACAAAAATGGCCAAGTGGGAAAGTGTTTCTCTTCAAATACTGTTCAGTGGTTACTAGCCAGAAGCCCATGAAAGCCCCATCTCTTAAATCATTAGTTTCCTTTGTGATGCAGACATCTTGATTTTCCTTCAGCTTTTAATTAAAGGTTGAGTCATAAGAGTGTACCTTCTCCTGATGCTAGTTCCTAATTACCTTCACTAAAGGCTTGCACTGATAATAGAAGCCGATGGTAACCTATCTGTATTCTTTTTAAATTCATGCGATTATTTTGTAATTGCCCAGCCCTATAATTTGCTATTTATTTTTTATTTATTTATTTATTGTTTATACAGGGCCATTATACAGTGTATAGTATGCCTGGTCTGGATATCCATATATAGATCAGATTGGCTTCTAACACACATATCCAACTGCCCTACTTTCTGAGGGATGGGATTAAAGGCCTGTCACCATATCTAGTTGCATAAAATTACTAATAGTAGGCTTTAATAAAGTTTAGAGGTTCTTTCACAGGTCACTGTTTATAAGTCCTCTGGCTGGCTGGTCAATGGGTCCACAAGTGACACTATGCCTTATCCTTCACAACCAAGTCTACATTTTCTCATGGTTTAAACACACTGAGCTTCCTCTCCAGGGGTCCTAGGACCCTCATCAGCTCCTTTGGACTTTCCCATCTACCTAGGAGAATAAAGCCCCAGAGCAAGATAAGCAAAGCTCCTGAGCTGCTGATCTTTCCTGGTTTTGTTGTCATAGTGATCTTCTGACTAGATTGTCCCCAAGCTTGCTTTTCTCTCCTTCAGACATTTCTACTCTTCAGGGAGGATTTGTATTGTGCTCAATCCTCTGCCCACTCATTAGACTGGCTCAGCAAACCATAGGCAGGGCCAGATCTGGTGTGTGAAAGACCCACTCACTGGTGTGAATAGATTAACCAAAACACAGACACAGGACTCTATATTGTTAGCTGTGACTTTCAAACTGGTTGAGGTATGTACTTGTTACTGAACACATGTTTTTTAAGTTCCCAAGCTGAAAACATTTACCATTTGGTCTTTACAAAGAACAGCCATTGACAGCCATTGAGATGGCTCAGGTGGTAAGAGCACTTGTCAAACCCAGTGACCTGAGTTCAATTCCTGGGACCCATATGGTAGGAGAGGAACAGCTCTCTCAAGCTGTCCTCTGACCTCTACATATGGGCCATAGAACACATTTACACATACATACACACACACACACACACACACACACACACACACACACACACACACGGAGGCTGACCTGACTGCTGCATTCACCACTTCCCTGCATATTATAGGTACACACAATTCTTTTCCTTCAAGACAAAAGCTATCTAGATTCCAAATTACATTTTATTCCTTAAGGGAAAACAAAGTCAAACTAATTGTTCTCAATTCCCAAGGTTTTGTTTTGTAGTTAGCTGAGTTAGGATTGAAGGAAGCTGCTTATGCGGAAACTTGTCAGTTGACAAAAACACCACACCTGCAAAATACCCAGAAGATGGAGTTGGGAGGATCAGAAGTTCAAGGTCATTGTCAACTAGTGAGTGCCAGACCAGCCTAGGGTACTTGAGACCCTGTATCAAAAGCAGCACATATTACTTTATATCCCCACAGTGTTTGTCAAGAATACATGAAAATCTTTTCCCCAAGAACCCCCTGAACACATTGTTTGAGGATGTAGAGTCAGGGCTCACAGAACTTAACTAACTTGTACATGGTCTCCCTGACTAAACAGAGGAGCTGAGGTTGTGACTCCAGAGACAAGGCTCATAGACAGGAAAAGAGACCTGGTCTTTTGTCTTGCCTTTCCTTGCAGTTAAAACATCCACGGGCTCTGTTTAGGGTTAGTAGACTAGTGCTAAGCTATTAAAGGGGCTGCCCTGTCTCCTGCTTATTCCAGAATGTGCTGGTCCCTGATTACCTGCATCTGGGCACTAGGGGAGACTCCTCGTTTCTGTCTAATCACAGGTGTTAATCAGGCTGCATCCAAGAGAAGCTTCTTCTGAATGGCTTATAAAGATGTAGATCTTGCCAGTCATGAGGCCCATGCTTTTAAAGACAGCCAGCCATTAGGGAGTAGAGTCTGGTCCATCTCTGTGAGTTCAAGGGCAACCTGTTCTACATGGAGAGTTTTAGATTGGCTGTGTTTACATAGTGAGAATTGAGACAATGTCTCAAAAAAATGTAGAATCTACAATTGCCTTTTATAAGACAAGTAGGGTCTGTGATGAAATACCAGACCAAGTAGCTATGCACATTGGGGTGATATCAGAGCATGCCAACTTAGAGAAGAACCATTGTTCTTCCTAGTAGAGGTATACCCTACTGACTGTTAATATAGATATAAGCACAAAAATGATGTATTCCCTAGAATTTTGACAAAGGCATACATCCATGTAATCACCCTGAGCAAAAAAGAACACATTTCCATGGTTCTTGAATATACTTTATGGCCTCAGAGTTCCATGATTAGCTCTGATTATTTGGTCTTACTGCATATTCTAGATTAGCTGCAGGCCAATAAAGGTAAAGACTAGGTTAAGGTCTAGGATCTGTTTTCTGTTTGACTCATTCATTGTGTCTTCCTTTTACTGTTCTTTCCCTAGGAAGTGATCCAACACCGAACCCACCAAAGATCATGATTAAAGGCATATATATTGGATTCTCAGTTGTGTTGCTGCTTCTACTTGTTGTGAGCATAATGACCATTACAAGTAAGTAATTTTAAGATGGATCCCAATGGTAGGATAAATGATAAATTACCATTTAAATAATAAGTGATCACAGAACTCGAAGAATTTTTGCCAAGCAAAGTTTTACTTCTACAGAAGGGTGCAAAGCCACTTTAATCCACAGAGCAAGCATACCCAGCAAGGGGTACCAATGGACCTTTAACTGTAAGTCATAGGGTTCTGTGCCTCCTCTGAGCGCTCAGAGCTTGGCCTCATGTTCTCTGAGACTGGCCATGTAAAGCAGTGACTAGAGAGAATGGCATCTGAGTGTGGTTTCTGACTCTAGGAAAATGTTTCCTCCAAGCTATTGTTGTCTAATGGTGCGTTCCCACATTTCTTTCAAGATGGCACTTGCTCTGTCTTACTTAGCCCTTCAGTAGAAGACAGTATGTTTCATTTCTATTTCCCAGACCTAGGTACTAGAGAAAGGATTCTCAGCCACTGTGACCGGCTTCAAGGAACTCCACATGCCATAGGGTTCGCATTTCACATGACTTCTCTGTGTTTCCCCAACACCCCAAAAATATTGTAATCCCTTCTGGGTCCCAGGGTATGTGTTAGGACCTATTAAGCACTGAAATTATTTCTAACATCTGTGATATGTTCTGGGACCTTGTTTATTTTTTTTTGTCATGTGGGTGCTAGGAACCCAATGGGTGTTCTCTGCAAACGCAGCAAGTTCTCTTGACCACTGAAGCTATGTCTCTAGCTCCAGCCCATTTTTTTTATATTACCTCTTTTATTTTTTGAGATTATAATATAATAACATAATTTCCCCCTCCCCTTTTCTCCCCCAAGCGTTGCCATATATCACTCTATGTTCTTTCAAATTCATAATCTCTTTTTATATAAATTATTACATGCATACATATATATGTATACACATATATATTACTAAATACAGCTTCCCCAGTCTAGCTATTGTTCTTTGCATGCATGTTTTCTTTGTTTCAAGACATGGAACATGAGCTCATTATTGACCTGTTTCACATGACTGAGTAAAAAACATGGAATCAGAATATGCCTGTCAAGCTTTAGGATTTTTTCCCTCTAATTATTAGGATCTTATTTATACAAAATGATTATTTAAGCTCACCCTGGTGGTATGCACCTATAGTTCCAAGACTTGAACTGCTAAGGCAGAAGAATCATAGCCCATGGACTATAAGAGAGGGGAATATAAATTGCATAAAATACTACAGATATGTTCCCTTTCTTCGCCCAAAGTTGTTTGTTCTCCCTGAGGGAAGGTGGTTACTGGAAGTATAAAGATCTTTAACAGGTATTAGGCATGGGTGGAGGACCTCCTAACTACACTAAGCCACCCTAGGGTCACTTTAGAGTCCTTGGTAGAAGAGATCATCAATAGGACCTTGTGCCTTGGGTCACCTTGGAGAGCCTATGTTTAGCTTGTTCTCCATCAGCCAAATTAAAAACCTAGACTTCTTTATTTCTTTTGGTGAAGAAAATTTACCAATGCCATTCTAGCATGTTAGGGATGCTGTGTGGGTGAGTGCACCAAACCATGAAGAGAAGAAACTTCCTGTGGGGCACAGGAAGGAACCTCCCATGGTTACCAGGGAATGGTTCAACTATAAGCAGAAGCAATATCCTTGGTTAGAAGAAAAAAGCACCATGAGTGACTTTGAGGATATGTTCAATTTTCTTTTCAACTCCCCCTGCCTCCTCTCACCCAAATTCAGAGTGCATCCTCACGAAAAAGAAGCCAGGATCTCTAAGGTAAGCTGGCATGTCTGTGTCAATTGCTCTTGGACTGACAGTCTTGTAGAGTTTTGTTGCTCTTTCTCCTTTCTTTCTCTGCCTTCTTTTCCCTTTCCTCTTCACATTTATCCTTCTCTTCTCTCTGCTCCAACTCTTCCCCCTCTTCCTCTCCTCCCTCTCTGCTCCCATCTTCTCCTCTTCTTCCTCCTCTTTCTCCTTTGCTTCTTCCTTAGTTTTCTCTTGCCTGGCTTCCATTGCCCACCTTGGATTCTAAAATTAGTTTCCTGAGCCCCTCTCTTGTTACCATACCTCACCAGGATGTATCAGCATTCTATTTTCCCTACCTTTGTGTCTGAACTGGTACTGAAGGAGCCTCTCAGCATTGATAACTTTTAATAATCACTGAATGGATGGTAGATGTTACTCTTTGGAGCTGAATTGAATGAGTTGCTTTAATTTCCCTTTTCGGTTTATTTAAGGTTTCCTTCATTGTGTGTCTATTGCATTATAAGCTTGTGAATGGGGCAGAGACCTCCCTCAGTGGTTATGCTCTTGCAAAGGACCCACTCTTGGCTCCTAAGACCTATGTCATAGGGCTCACAGTTGCCTGAATTTCCAGCTCCTGCATTTATATGCACATGTGCACATATACATATTTAAAAAAAACTTTAAAAAACTGGTGGGCATACATGTTATTCACACACATAACATCCCTGCAAAACACACACATGAATAAGTAAAGAAATCAATATTTTCTCTAAAAATAGATGGAAAAATCAGAAAGCATGTAAGCTATCTGGTCATTTTAGGAGAGCTTCCAGGCAAGTAGTGTGGGGATGATAAGAGTCACCTGTGTTGTGGCTTGTGCGAGTGAGACCCAGGGAAGCAGATTTTGAGGATGGTAATTCTTGTAGCAGTAAGGAGTACAAAGGAACCCGGACAAGGCAGTGCCTCTACTGTTCATACCAAGTCCTCATCACTCATCTATACTAATTAATATCTGTCTGCTTTGTGGGCCCTTTATATTTTTTGTTGTGAGCCTAGTCTTTAAGAGCTGAGCCATCTCTCCTCTCCAGCTTTTTAATTTACTACACGTCATTGATATGCAGCCATCTAGTCTGTTTCATTTTGTTCAAGACTGGCTCTATACAGAGGTATTTTTTTTTTCAATCAGAATTCACACCCATCTGGTTACTATCCATTGCACCTAGTTCTCTTCTGTGATCTGTTTCTACAAAGACTTCTCTGGGTCTGAGTGAATCACATGAGCCTATCCACAGCCAGTGTATTTAGCTGTTATTTCTTCTGTTCTATCCTTCACAGTATGAATACATTGCATACCAAGTAGTGTTATTCTAAGCATCCCACATTTGGAAAACAGATTTAGAAAGGAGGGTGTCCTGGGTCATACTGTGTGAGCTCTATATACTATGTAGAACATACTATGTAGAGGCCTCACTCTTAGGACCTCACTCTTAAGCCTCACTATTTAGAATTATGTCCATTAACTTCTGATAATGGAAGAGCGATACTTCTGATAGATGAAAAACACCTCATCCATCTAATCATTGCTTTCTATTTCTGATTTTGTATTTTTTCCAAAAGTTTTATTTTAATTTTTTATTGAATGTGCATATGTGTTAGTGTGTGAAGGACAGAAAGCAAGAGAGACAAAGAACAAGGGAAACAGAGGATGTTTGAGTCTGTTGCATACACATGTGTGCAGCAGAGGCAGAGAAGGCCCTTGGCCATGGAGGCAGGGCCCCTCCCTGACTAGATATTATATGTTTCCAGGAAGGCTGCCAGCCAGAGAGCTCCAGTGATATTCTTATCTCCACTCTGGGGTTATAGACATGTGAGGATGCTTGGCTTGTTACATGGGTTCTGGGCCTGAACTCTGTTACTTTTGTTGTGCAATGAGCATACTTATGCCTAAGTCACATTTCCAGCCCCAATTTTTGGGTTTGTTTCATTATTATTATTATTATTATTATTATTATTATTATTATTATTATTTAGTTAAAAATAAAAACACCAAAGACAATGTAACATATAAAAAGAAAAATGAGCTGTTTGAGACCAGCCTAGATTTCTAGCAAGAACAGTAAAAACAAAACAAAAAAACTAAACAGGCAAGTAAACCCAGTTCAAGACTTGACAAATTCCAGGCAAGCATTGTCCATGTTCTTTGTAATTCTCAGGTGAGGTATGTTCTTTGTGTGGCTGACTGGAGATGTTCATTTTGATTCTACATTTTAGCAAGAGAGAAGGCCACTGTGTTCAAATGACAATTTCCACTGTGTTGAGATGAGTTAAAGATAGTCTGTTTTCTGTTCTGATTTGTTCCTCCATGAATTCTAGAAGCTCAAATATCAGTCCACCGTGACTGCCCTGACTAATATGGGCACAGAATGAGCTCTCCAAGTGAAGGCTCTCCCACAGCTGATGGTATGGCCAGTGCATAGATACCAACAGCACTCTCTCAAAATTAGTTCCTTGACCTCAAACACTGGATATTTTTATGCTTGTGTCATATGTATGTCATACATGAAGTCTCTGAAACTGTGTTATAGACTACCTGCTTTTGTGAAAAGGTACTGAATTTTTACATATTTTCATACTCCATGCTAAATGTTAGGGAATGTAGAAACTATGCAAATTTCAAAACCCTTGCCTTCTTTTAAATAAGAATGTATTTACTATTGGTGTGTGTGTGTGTGTGTGTGTGTGTGTGTGTGTGTGTATGTGTGTGTGTGTGTGTGTGTAGGTTCTTTGGCACCTGTGGAGGTCAGACGACAACTTTGTGGAGCTGGCTCTTTCTTTCTACCTTTATATGGGCCCCAGGGATCTCACACATGTCACCAGACCCCCCCCCCAACCCATTCTAAAGGGTCATAACACAAAGCCGTAAACACAGCAGTCATCCCATCCTTAGCCTAGTTCCCGAGTACACATCTTGATTAGGTAACTCCGTTTGATGTTAGGTATCTGTCTCTTTGGATCTCCTGCTATATGTTCTATCACACGCATATCCTTGTGGATGCCAATATGAACTGATATTTTTAAAACAATTCTTAGCTGCTCTGATGCCTATTAAACATACTTTTCTGACTTAATACTAGGATCTTGTGTGGCAGTTTTCACTGTTAGTTTTTGTGGAAGGAGCTCCTTGAATCCTGAGTGTATATCATAAATGAAAGTTCTGCTCAGACCTGAAAGGTAAAAGGTAACCTCATTCTCAACATCTCTCTCTCTCCCTCTCTCCCTCCCTCCCTCTCTCTCTCTCTCTCTCTCTCTCTCTCTCTCTCTCTCTGCAGGAACTTGGTAGCATTCCATGTGCAACCACGAGCCCAAGAGAACATCTACATTATTGAAGACAATCTTCCTGTCTTCCATTAAGTTGCAGTAGAAGACAGCTACAAGATATCACCAAACTGGTCAACCCTTTAAGCTCCAGGACTATTTTCTGCGTTGTTTCATCGGGTGTCCCTGCTATCCAGCAATAGTGGAAAGGATGATCCGCTAGCTGTCTGTCCTCACACTCACAGTTAAAATGATGTCCAGTCTGTCCATGCACTGTAGAGTCTTTTCTCAAACATGAACACTTTAACATTTGGGGTTTCCTGTAAGCCCCATAATTATTTTGTCCATGAAAGAAAAATCATTGGTAATGCAGGAAATCGACTTCTATCTTGGTGACTAAAACCATCCAGCAGAGAGGACTATGATTTAAGGTAGAAATAAAATAAAAACAAAAGTGGGGAGGATGAGATTTAATTTAGAAGCACTTCATGATGATGTCTTGTTTATCATAACTCAAAATGTCACTTACCCTTACCATCCCCAAGGGACTCTAATCATGGAAGCTGCAGGTTTTAATTTCCTTTATAGATGAGCAGAAGTGAATCTAATATCACCCACCATGAGAGGTGTGTAGACTTTCTCATGGAGCTTGAAATATGATGTGCCGTATGTGTCTAATCTTAGGATTATGATGGGTATTTCATGTCAGGAGAGGTTTCCATGGTGAGTATGGATGAGGCAGGCATCAGGAAAAGAAAATAATAGACTAAGAGAATGAGGTCATTAGCACTATTTCCACTGCAGTCTGACTTGATGCTCAGTGTCCCTATACTCAACCTCTGGGCTCTGAATTAGGTGCTAGAAGGAGACAATGCAGAAATGAAGGGGGAAGGAGGGAGCAGGACACAGGCTCTGCCTGAGAGAAGTCCTTTTCCAGGTGTGACAGAGTTTAGGATGTTCACTGGTTCATTCGAAGTTATAAATGTATAATTATCTCCAGACCATATTTATATTTAAATTTATTTCAGAAGGACAAAGCATTTTTCATAGTGGATCAGTTTGTCACAAGCAATGAAATACTTGGTTTTGCTAAGAGTTAACAAAGACTGTTGTGTTGGTATCTTCGTTGCCAGTTTGGTTGTTGAGAAGAACAGATTTGCAAGAGGGTAATAATTTCTATTTCAGTTTTAATAAGCCTTGACACTCAACCCATAGAAGAGAGGATGCTGGATCTCGGTCCACATCCTCTACAGAGTTCTAGGGAATAAGTATGTGTCTGACTGGAGTCGTCTTGGGAAAGGTCAGATAAGGAAAGTTGCATTGTAGGTTTGCTGAATGGGGTTTCCTCATCTGCTCTAGAAATGATCGTGTTTAAACCAAGGTGTTTTCTTTTTTCTTATATTCGAGGCACTTATACATCAAATCAGGGCTTTAGCTTCCTGTCTCCTTTGTGATTCCAGTCTGGTGGCTGCCACGTTCTGCGGTTGTGATGCCTGTACTGCTCTTAAGTCTTCCTATGAATGTGTAACAGATGTCTGCAGTCAAGAACATGGTACTACTGTGTTCTGTGAAACCAAATGCAATGGGAAACAGAGCATATGCATGAATAAGACCACCCTGGGCTCTGATCCTAACACTGAGTAGCAATAGTAGGATAACTTGTTTTGTGTTTCTATTTCTTTCCATCTAGTTTTTGTTGTTGTTGTTGTTGTTGTTATTTCAAGCAGGGTTTCCCTGTGTAGCTTTGAAGCCTATCCTGGAACTAGCTCTTGTAGGCCAGGTTGGTCTTGAACTCATAGAGATTCTCCTGCCTCTGCTTCCCAAGTGCTGGGATTAAAGGTATGGGCCATCACCACCTGGCTCTTTGTATATATTTGATGTTACCATTTCCATACTGACCTTGGGGTACAGTGGTCATTTCAATGAAATGTTACTCATGAGAGTTTCTGAGGAATTGTGGGGATGGCTCATGGCTAAGAGTGTATGCTGTTCTTGCAGATGACCTGAGTGGGGTTTCCAGCACCCACAGTAGGAGTTTTATATATGCCTGTGACCCTAGCTTCAGGGGATGGGTCACCTCCCTTTTGGCCTTATGCATACACACTCGTACATAAATACAAATAACTATTAAATGGAATAATAGTTCTTTGAAGATGGAAAACCTACAGAGTGTGAATTTTCTCAGTAGATTTCATAATAAGAGATCAGGAGTTTGTGTTCAGTAAATGACTTAACTATTCTACATTCATAAATCTCTTATATGACATCTTTCTTTAAAGAATGTTTTCATTTGAAATACTTCATGCTCCATAATTTTCTCATACCACAGGAAAAAATTGTTAATTCAAGGGATAAATAGGATAGAAGGAAAGGAATTTAGTTATTGTGAAAAATTCCCATGTATATGGGTTTTTAGCTTTACCTTGTTTTGTTGAGACAAGATCTTGCCAAGTAACCTTTGCTGTCCTGGAATTTCCATCTGTATGTTAGGCTACCCTAGAATTCTCAGAGAACCACCTACCTCTGCTTCCTGAATGCTGGGATATAAGTTGTGCACTGTCTTGTCTGGGACAAGCCTTGATTGATCATATTTAATGGTGTTTCAATATTGATCTCCCAAGACACAATTGATTCCATTACCTGCACTCTGCCTTGGCAGAAAATAGTTTCAACATTTGACTGTATGTAAATTCATCAATAAAATGCAGTGTTTGGGGGCTAGACTAGAGGCTCACACTAGCTGCTCTTCTAGAGGATCTAGTTTGAACCCCAGCACCTACAAGGTGACTCACAATGGTCTGAGCTCTATCCCTAGGGGATCAGACACTTTCTTTGGGTGTCTATGGAAACTGCAAGCCTATGGTTCACAGGCATACATGCAGGCAAAACACTCATACACAATGACTTGCTGTTTTTTTCCAGGTTCACTGGTTCATTTGAATAGACATTTTCATCTTGCTTTGGGGAGTATTCTCAGCATGTGGAGAAATATGTCAACAGTTGTCAAGGGAACTGGGGAGATGGCTGAGTGGATAAAAGGATTTCCCCAAGAGTGATGACCCAAGGTTGACTATGAGGACCCATGTGAAAAGCAGAATATGACTGTGTGTATCTGTAACCACAGCCTGTGGGGAGAAAAGACACAAAAGCAAAGGATTGATTATTCCTCTGCACTAGAAATATTATATCAGGTTAGCCAAGCTTAGTGGTACCTGCTGTTAGTCTCAACACTTGATGGGCAGAGTCAGGTGGATCTCTGTAAGTTCAAGACCATCCTGGTCTACTTAGTGAGTTCCAGGTAGCCAGGGCTACATAGAGAAACTCTGTCTCAGCAGTGGGGCAGAGACACACTGTAGGCGATTGAATGAGGTGATGGGCAGACATGTTGGCATCCCGGGTTAGGACGCTGCATAAATCACAAATTATCCAAGTCCTTTCATTTCTTTCATTTCTGTTAGTCTCTGCTTCCCTTTCTATCCAAGGGGTGGCCACTGAGACCTCTAGGTTTGCTGTCTCAGAAAGTATCCTCCTGCCTCTATAAGAATTTTGATTATTCACAGATTTAGCCAAATAAATAGTGACAAATACCTACTGCTATCATAATTTTATTTTTAAAAAAAGTAGTCACTTAGTATGTGTATTGCATAAAATTTTTGCGAGTATCAGATTTCAGTCTCTCCCTCCCTCTCTCTCTTTCCCTCAACCCCCTGTGTGTGTGTGTGTGTGTGTGTGTGTGTGTGTGTGTGTGTGCGTGCGTGCATGTGCCTGCGCTTGCCACTGAAGGCATATGGGATTAAAAAAAAAGACAACATGGAGAAGAGAGCTCTTTCCTTCCATCATGTGAGTTCTGGATTGAACTCAGGTCTCAGGCAAGTGCCTTTATTCATAGAACTATCTTACTAGCTATTACTTAAAAAGATTAATAAGAAATGATTCTATTTCAGTTAGATATTAGGTAAACTTAGTGTAATGGATTATTGTCTTCCTCGTTTTCTGATTTATGCCGGAATGGCACTGTTGCTTATATCCGGGGCTAAGGGATTGATTAGATGAAATAAGGGCTCTTTCTCGTTTCTAGTTAGATGCAAACGATCAGCTTGCTCAGATGTCAGCTAAATTCTTCCTAGAGTCAAGCTTGGAAGCTGTCCCAGAAGACAAACAGGACAGAAGAAGCAGACCTCAGAGCACATTGACCATGGAGGTTAATCTCATCTGGATAGAGTCCTGCTGTTAAACTCTGTGAAGACCTTTTTTCTTTTTCTTTTTCTTTTTTCTTTCTTTCTTTTTTCTTTCTTTCTTTCTTTTCTTGGTAACGGGAGAGAAAAATAAGTTAATTCCCATCTCACAAGATACACCATGTGGGATTTCAGTAAGTAAATGAGTTCATAATGGCTAGTCCAGTGCCTGCTCACAGTATGTTCTCAGGGTACATTAGTGCCTTTCACTTACACTGTCAACAGGCCAGAGGCAGACTGAGAAAATGGTTCATTGCTGCAGCGAGAGTAAACTGAGCCCTAAATCTAGCTCTTCTGACCAGTTCTGATCACTGTAACATTGCACATATACACTAATTGAAAAAGTAAAAATACTCTTTAATTTATAAATATACCCATGCTTAGTAGGAAAGTCAACAGCACGACCTCTCTCTGTGTGGGTTCCTGTGTTACTTCTCAGGCACCTCCCTTTAACACTGACCCATGCATGCCTGGGATTCTAGAACTGGGGTTTCTCCTCATAGTATTCAGCACACATAGCTATTTGTCTTTGTTTGAACAAGTAAATTAGGGTCTGAAAGTATAGCTCAGTGCGTAAAGTGGCGTTTGTGGCATGCAGGAAGCCCCCAGGACTACATACACCTATAATCACAACACTCTCTCTGGTGGTAGAAACAGGAGGATCAGAAGTTCAAGGTCATCCTCAGCTACACAATGGGTTCCAGGCCAGGGGTGGGCTGCAGGAGACCCCATCTCAGAAAAAAATAAACTCAGTTTGATTGTTCATGGAGACCATCACCACGTTTAAGATCTAAATACTCCTATCAACCAAAAGCCTCACACACTATTGTAATACTGATCTATTCTCAGTTCTCAGAGAAAAAGGCCTTGTGCACTGGACTTGAATGCTTGAGAGCCACCTTTCTCACTACAAACACAAATGGGGAGCGCACACAGGGAGGTAACCTTTGTGGTCTGTCCTGAAAAAAGAGAATGTGTCACCTCTCTCAAGGCCTAGCAGAGACAAAACAGGAACAGAGAACCCCCAATAAGATCTGTGTGGGTGTCAGAACCTAGACTACAGCTAGAACAAGATAGTGGCCCCCAATAAAGACCGAGAGGAAGCCGAGGCTGGGTCCTAACTTCAAGCAGACTGCCCTGCCCAGAGTGCTCTTGTGACTTCTTGCCTGGAAAGAAGCAGATGGAACATCGTGGAATGTAAGACTTCACAGTCTTTAGCTGTACTTCCAGGATGGTGAGATTGATGCACAGTGTACCACAAATTTACTCTCAGAGGAAGGTGGCTGTTGTCATTGTTAGATGAAATGACGACAACTGCAGAGAACTTCACCAAGGCCTGGAGCAGACAGGCTTTGAAACCCCTCACCCTCTGCACTGGAGCCTTCCTTCCTTCCACCACAGCTCAGTAAACATAGGTCAAGAGCCTTTAGCTAGGACCTAGAGGTCAACTTTAGCATGGGAAAATAGGGGAATAGTGGGAAGGCAGGAGGAGGCTGATCCTTGTAAATTTGAAGCTAGCCTGGTCTATATAGAGAAGAAGTTAGCTTGGACTAGCTAGAGAGTTTAACATAGTAAGACCCTATCTCAAAAGAAAGACAGACACTGGTGTTTCTAATTTTAGCCATTCTAGCAGGAGTAAGTTGTTTTGATTTGCATTTCCCTGATAGCTAAGAACGTTGAGCACTTTCTTAAGTGTCTTTCAGCCTTTTTGATTTCCTCTATTGAGAATTCTCTCTTCAGTTCTGTACCCCATTTTTAAATAGGGTTATTTGGTGTTTTGGTGACTAGTTTCTTGAGTTCTTTGTATATTTTGGAGATCAGCCCTTTGTTGCATGTAGGATTGGTGAAAATCTTTTCCCAGTCTGTGGGCTGCCATTTGGTCTTGTCAACTGTGTCCTTTGCCTTACAGAAGCTTCTAAGTTTGAAGAGGTCCCATTTATTAATTGTTGATTGCAATGTCTGTGCTACTGGAGTTATGTTCAGGAAGCAGTCTCCTGTACCAATTTGTTCAAGTGTACCTCCCACTTTCTCTTCTAAGAGGTTCAGTGTGGCTGGATTTATGTTCAGGTCTTTGATCCATTTGGACTTCAGTTTTGTGTGTGGCAATAGACATGGGTCTATCTGCAGTCTTCTACCCTCAAATGATGAATGGATAAAGAGGATGTGGCACATTTACACAATGGAATACTACTCTGCAGAATAAAACAATGGAATCTTGAAATTTGCAGGCAAGTGGATGGCACTTGAAGAAACCATCCTGAACGAGGTAACCCAGTTACAAAAAGAGGTACATGGTATGTACTCGCTCATATATGGATTTTAGACATAGAGCAAAGGATCACCAGCCTATAATTTATACCGCCACAGGAACTAGGATACAAGGTGGATTCTAAGAGATTCATATAAGGTCCCTCACAGAAGGGAGAAGGGACAAGTTCCCCAGATCACATGGGGAGTGGGGGGGGCAGTGAGTGGAGAGGGAACTAGGAGAAAAAGAAGGGGAGGAGAGGGAAGCATGTGGGACTAGGAAGATTGAGTCAGGGGAAGAATAGAAGACAGAAAAGAGAGATGGGGGAGAGAGAGAGAAAGAACATGAAAGAGGGAGCCATTATAGAATTGAAGAGAAAACTGAACCTAAAGAAATGTCCAGAGACCTACAAGACTGACTCCAACTAACAATTTGAGCAACAGTGGAAAGGCTACCATAAATGCCTTTCCCTGATAATGAGATCAACAACTAACTTATCCACCAACATGGAGCCCTCATCTAGTACCTGTTGGAAATAGAAGCAAACACCCACAACTAAACACTGAGCCGAACTAGATCCAGATGCAGAGAGGGAGGACAAGACCAGGTTACAGAAACACATAGAGCCAGCTGACCTGAACAAGGAGGAGCTAATGGGCCCCCAGACTGATAGCTGGGAATCCAGCATGGGACTGACTCAGACCCCCTGAACATGGGTTTCAGCTAGAAGGCCTGAGCAGTCTAAGGGACCTCAGACAGTGGAACCAGGATGTATTCCTGGTTCACAGAAGGACCTAGCAGGCACATTCCCCATGGAGGGATATTCCCTTAACCTAGAGACAGGAGAGAAATCCTAGTCCCTACTTCAAATGACTTGACAGATTTAGATGACCCCTCCTGGATGGCATCACCCTACATGTGGAATAGGGGGGGTAGAAGGGGAGGGTGGTCTGGATGCATGTGAGGGGGGAGAGAGGGAGGGAGGGAGGGGGAAAGAGAGGGAGAGGTAACTGGGATCGATATGTAAAAATAAAAATAACACAAAAAAGAGAGACACACAGAGAGACAAAGAGGGAAGAGGAAAATAAGGGAGGGAGGGAGGGAAAGAGGGACGGAGGGAGGAAGGGAGGGGGGAAGAAGAAAGTAGCAAGCCTATCCAAGCCCCAGTAGCCCTGCCCCTGGGGCCAGCTCTTATGCACTGCAGGTACTTCCTCCCTGAGCCAAGTTTGCCTCAAGGCCCAGAGACAATGATAGAGAGACACCTGACCTGGAGACTCCACTGAGAAAAGGGCATCAGCAGGGTCAGCCTCCTCCCGCAATAGTACCTTCCCAGGGATTATAAAGGCAGCCACTTCCAGAACAAGGGCCCAGGCAAGAGTGGAGTGGGGGCAGGGCTCCTCCCTTCTTCTTCCCATCATCCTCCTAGTCTGGCTCTCCCACCCAATCTCCTCCTGCCCAGATATAGGCCAGCCATCTCCTTATTAACCACTGAGAGTAATACATGTTACAGTGTACAGTGATTATTCCACAGCAACTCCTCATTAGGCCTTTCCCTTCTCTGAGTCCCTGACTCTTCTTCCATTCAAGAGTGATCACGCAAACATCTGGATTTCCTGTTTCAGGAAAATGCCCCTGCCTTGAAAATAATTTTGGATACCCTCAAATTTTACCAAATAAGATGTGGTCATCATTTCACTTAAGAAGATAGTCATTTATCCATGTCTTGTTGTTGTGGGAGTCTCCCTAGAGTAACCACGTATGCTCAATGAAAGGGGAAGACAGAAGATGGCACTGACAGCCCAGAGCCTGGATGACCGTGGAATGGTTTCAATGATGGGTCCAGTTGGCATTCTCATTTTTTTCTACTTTTATTGAAAAATAGTCTTTTCCATACAATCTCTTCTGATTACTGTTCCCCTTCCTCAGTTCCTCCTAGATCCTCCCAATTTCCTGTCTTGTCCTAATCCACACCATTTCTCTCTTATTGGAAAACAATCAGACATTTAAAGAACAATAATAAAATAAACAAAATGGGTAGACAAACAAGCAAGAGTTTACAGAGCATATGTGACAGTCAGCAGGTTGTCAAGGTCAATAACCCATTGCTTCAGCTATTTCTCCAGATCATTCTGTTGCAAGTAACTAGTGAAGTCATTCTTGGCAAATAGTCAATTTACTAAATCACTAAATAAATAAGTATCTAATCATTGGTCTTTTCTACCATGTAAATTTTTAAAATGTACTATACCTTAGTTATTTAGTATGCATATACATACATGGTTATGTGTATGCATGAATGTGAGTGTATGTACGGATGTGCACTTGTGTGGTGTGTGTGTGAGGTGTGTGTGTGTGTGTGTGTGTGTGTGTGTGTGTGTGTGTGTGTGTGTGTATACAGTTGCCATGGAGAGCATGTGGAAATAAAAGGACAACTAGGGGAAGTCAGCACTCAGGAGGCAGAAAACTGACAGAAATTAATACCCCCTTGCAAATCAGTTCTTCTCAACAATCCAGCTGGGAATGGATACCAAATATTTCATTGATTGTAACAAACTGATCCACTATGAAAAATGCTTTGTCCTTCTGAAATAAATTTAAATATAAATATGGTCTGGAGATAATTATACATTTATAACTCCGAATGAACCAGTGAACATCCTAAACTCTGTCACACCTGGAAAAGGACTTCTCTCAGGCAGAGCCTGTGTCCTGCTCCCTCCTTCCCCCTTCATTTCTGCATTGTCTCCTTCTAGCACCTAATTCAGAGCCCAGCGGTTGACACAGAATATAGCCTTGCAGCTCCAAGGGTGTCTGGCATGGAAATACTCCATTACTTTCACCTACAGTCTTGAAATGAGGTCATCTTAGAGGGCAGCTGGGAGTTTATCCTGGGATGGAAACTGTCTTCAATAGTGTAGACTGAATCTTTTGCTTCCATTGTAATTTCAAAAGCTTTGTTCTTATATTTATAGAAAACAACTGGGCTTCAGAGAGAGTTGTTGAAAAAGAATTAAAAGGTTACTTTTCAGGTATGAGAACAGTTTTTATTTATGACCCAGCTGGGTATTGAGGCATGCGTGCGGGAGCCCCATTGCAAACACTTTAACAGGGAATAAATAGCAGTACACAGGGAATGGATAGTAAAGTCATAGAAGCATTTCTTATTGGCATCCATCGGGAGACTCATGTAATAGAACACAATAGTAAAATGTCTAAAAAGACAGATGCCCAACATCAAACCGAGTTACCTAATCACTCAGGGTATGCACTTTGGAACTGGGCTAAGGACTGGATGACTTGTGTATTTACAGCTTAGCTTAGGACTGTGGCCCTTTAGAAAGGGTTAGGAGGGCCTGGTGACACATGCTAGATCCCTGGACCCACAGGGATCTGAAGGAGACTTCAGAAAGGAGATTCAGAAAGTTGTCCTATGACCTTCACAGATGCCAGGACAGCTTCCAAAGCCACAGAGAAACCCTGTCTCAAAAAACAAACAAAAATTTTTTCAACTTAAATAAATAAATAAATAAACAAGCCCCGCATTGGTGGGGCTTGCCTTTAATCCCAGCACTAGGGAGGCAGAGGCAGGCTGATCTCTGTGGGTTCAAAGCCATCCTGGTCTACAGAGCAAGTTCCAGGACAGCCTCCAAAGCAATAAGCAATATAGAGAAACCCTGTCTCAGAATCCTTGCTCTAGTTCCTTGTCTGGAAAATAATACATGAAACATACTGCTTTCTGCCAAAGAGCGAAAGAAGACACCTTTAATCCCAGCACTCGAGGCAGGCAGATCTCTGTGAGTTCAAGACCAGCCTGATCTACAAGAGCTAGTTCCAGGACACAACCTCCAAAGCAACAGAGAAACCTTGTCTCAAAAAAAAAAACAAAACAAAAACAAACAAACAAAAAAAGAGGACATTCCATCTTGAGAGAAATGTCAGTAGACACAATTTAGCAAGAATAGGTGTGAAGCCTTTTCTTACCATCAAAATCTATGCTCAGAACTACTACTTTGATCCATGGATTTAAAATGGCTTTTCACTATACTACAGGGTTAAAGGATTTTGCTCTGCCACAATTCTTTGGATTTTGGGCTCATTTCTCAAGGAGACCCATTCCCCCCATTCCCATTCCTAATGCTGAATTCTTGATAAAGTTACTCACTTATGGCCAACAGGATGCCCACGAGAAGCAGCACCACATTGGACACAGAGATTCCAATATAGAGGCCCTCAGTGGAGATCTTCAGGGGATGCATTGTGGGGGCCACTTTCTAAGGAAACACCAATCATTGAAGAGGCACCAAATGAGATGAGCAGAAAACGCATCCTAGACCTCAACCTAGACTTTCCCTCCATTTCCTGTGGCTACTCTAGAACAAGCAAGTATGCAGGAGTGTGCACGTTGATTCCCAGTTCTTGGGAGGCAGAGGCAGACTACCTGAGAGTTCCAAAACAGTCTGGTCTACATAGCAGTTCTGGGACAGCCATGGCCGCATAGAGAGATTATGTGTGGAAATAAAATAGAATAGAGCATGCAAGTAAAATAAAACAACCTGAGCTGATACTAAGCTGTTCTAGACAATGCAGTCTTCAAAGTGTCTAGAAGGATGAAGATGTTTTCTATGTGGTTTGAGGGCACAACATGGTTTCATATCTTTTCAGTGAGTCTATCTACACTAATATTTTTCCTCTACAGAAAAAAATAATGGCTCCTATGTAAGTCAATGCTCTGATGCTTACAGCATGTGCTCAGCTACTGGGTCTGGTCTTTTCTCACAGATTTTAATTGTCTTATAAAAGGCAATTCTGGAGTCAGCTTTTTTTTTTTTTTTTTTTTTTTTTTTTTTTTTTTTGAGGTAAGGCCTTACTTTTCACTATGTAGCCACAGCTATGCTTGAACTCACAGAGATGAACCATACTTTCTGCCTATTTATAGCTGGGATTACAGCCATGATCCATCATGCCTGGCAAGATCTACATGTTGAAAAAAAATAAAAACACAGAATAAACTGCTCTTGTATGCAGCCTGATTAACACCTGTGATCTGAAAGAAATGAGGTCTACCCTAGTGCCCTGCGCAAATGATCAGGGACCAGCACATACTGGAATAAGTAGGAGACAGGGCAGCAGGTGAGGCCCCTCTAATAGCTTAGCACTAATCTACCAACCCTAAACAGAGCCCAGACACCAGGTCTTTACCCATGTATGAGCCTCGTCTCAATCCCAGCTCCTCTGCTTAGTCAGGGAGACCATGGACAAGTTAGTTAAGCTCTGACTCTACATCCTCAAACAATGTGTTCAGTGAATTCTCAAGAGTGGGATTCTCATGTATTCCTGACAAACTCTGTGGGGATATAAAGTAGTGTTCATTGGTTTTGAGACAGGGTCTCATGTACTCTAGACTGGCCTGGCAACACTAGCCAAAGTGATGGACTTCTGATCCTCATGTCTACACCTCCTGAGTGCCTGAATTACAGGAGAATCCACCATACCCATGTGAACATTTACTTCGTAACATTTTCTGATTATGAATGGCAGCAATGGCCAACCTTTTTCAGTCATAATCACATTGTTTTTCAAACTTTTCATGAGATGGAGTCTAGGAAGTTGATCTACAGGTTCAAGATGTAGCATGATATTACTAGTCTTCAGGGTGCACACCTAAGCATCCCAGGGCTTGAGAAGAAGAGACAGGAGATCCCAGAGTACATGATCATTCTCAGCTCCATGAGAATTCAAGGTCTCCAGGAGACCCTGTCTCAAAAAACAAACAAACACCTAGATACTAGCCACAACGGTATCTCTGTGCACTGCTCTAAATACACCTAGAGCTAGACTGACAGCTCCAAGCTAATTCTTGTTTTGAATTTAATTCTAAATTATTCTTTCTTGCTGATAAAGATAACTGTACTGTAGTTAACAGAGCTCAGGTACAACTTCACCATGCAGGGTTGTGTTAAAAAACAGCACGAGTCTGCTCATTTAGAAATACTTTCAACATGGCATAATGATTTCTGGTGTTGTACTAGGATACATAAATATATGTTACTATATTCTCTTCTAGCTACCTCATTCTTTTTTTAGCCCAACTTTTAACTATAGAAAATCAGTCCATTTCTCTGTGTGTCCTGAAATATCATTTATTGGGCAGCTCTAACAGACTTGCTTTGTGACACCCTTTTTATAGTCAAATTGTTCTCTTCACAACAGATTTATTATGATTTAATACTGTCTTTGCTTCCCTGGGATTTTTGAGACAAGGTCTCACTATGTCAGCCTGAGGTTATCAGGCTGACCTGGTAGTCCTGGCTATCCTCAAATTTGACATCTCCTATGTCAGATTCCTGAATCCTAAGATAAAGGAAAAACAACTATACTTGACTCTTTTTCTCTTCTTCTATTTCTTCTTCTTTTTTTGAGACAAAAGTCTGTGAACTAAATTGATTTATTTACAAAGTCTTTAAATGCAGCATGATCCCAGGAAGATACACAAGTGAACATTGCCATTAACACAGGGAGGGATTTGCTTACAATGTGATTCTTCCAACAGAGGCGTGAAGATGTCACAGTGATGGTGTAAACTTCTCAAAAAGAATGAAAATTAGAAAAATATTATATTTTCATTATAGACATTACACATATTCATATCAACTTCTACAGTGAAAGTTAAATAACATGATCAAAACTATAGGCATGCCATGCATCACACTAAATATTAGCATTTTGTTAAATTTCTTGAGGAATTTCTGCTTCTTAACCTTTCTGTTCTGGCATCAAGGAAAATTCTCTCTCTCTCTCTCTCTCTCTCTCTCTCTCTCTCTCTCTCTCTCTGTGTGTGTGTGTGTCTCTCTCTCTCTGTCTCTCTCTCTCTCTGTCTCTCTCTTTCAGAAAAAATGTAATGTAAGTACATGTTCAGGCTTATCTGAAGCAGGGAACTCAGTTGTGGACCAGTTTAAGGTGCCATCTCATCTATACCTCCATCTGAGATGAGGAGGGTAACTGTCCAAAGGCCACACACAGCCAAAGGTCAGGATAACTCTACTCAAGGTGAGTGGAACTACCATGACATCGATCATGGCATAGTCTCACCTAATATGTCACTGCACCTCAGCTTGGATCAGAATTGCTTTAGAAATCATCTGTCATATAACCCAGAAACCAGTATATCTCATCTGATGTAAGAATTAGGATTTTGTGTGGTAGGAGAGTCACTGAACTCTATTCACATACCAGAGTGTTTCTGGGACATATATTTTTGGAGCAGATTATATCTTTTATGCTTTCTAAAATCTGCATGCCAAACACAGAATTCTCATTCTGCTGAATAACTGCAATAAACAAATGTCTTACATCCTAACCTTGAACTACTCGATTCATGTTTATTCATTAAAAAGCATACATTAGATGATTATACATTTGTAATTTTAGCAAATAACAGACATCTCTGCTGGCAATGCACACACGATGCCCACACAATGAGTGGAAATACTACAGATCTTGGAGGGCCCAATAACTGCAAAAACTGACATTGCCCAGCAATGAATAAAGTCGCATGACTCATATCATTCACATTACTGTGCTTACATTTAATCATTGGGAGCTCATTTCCAAGGAGCCAAAGGCAATGACTAGGTTTAGGCAACATCTACAGTCTAAGCTCTGTTTGTGATCTAGGACAGGACCTTCCAGATATGGGAAGAGTAAATGACTCAGAAAGAAACAGGAAAAGATTTTAATTCAAGCTGGCAAGCATGGTGGCAAACACTTTTTATCACTAGAGGCAGAAGTGAGATCTCTTGACTTCAACTCAAGCTTTGTCTACATAATGAGGTCTGTGCCAGTCAAGTTGAGATCCTGTCTAAACAAAGTAAAACTCACCTAATTTACCACCCCAGCAGTCATATGATCACATCAGCTATCACTGCTTTTCTAAATCTCAGTTTTCAGTGAAGTCAGTAACTTATCCTTGTTCTCCAAACTGAGTCCATGGGTCCATCCTCTGAAACATGCAGAAACTAAGTATTGAAAAGTTATGTCAATTCTAAGACATCCTCACTGTTCCACAGTGTGTGCAGCTGCTTGGAGCAAAGTGGATTTTCTCACAAATCCTTATGCTCTAGAATCCCAATTATGACATATTGCCCTCGGCTTATAGCCCAATACTGCACACTCCTTCTAGTTGATACCCACAGACCAGTGGGAGATGAGGAAATCTATACCAATCATCATATTGATCTAGCAAAACAAACAGAAATCCATGCCCCTTCTGCTGCTTCTCAGAATTCAGCTCGGCACCAGGGGATGGACAGGTTTTAGGAAATTTTAGTTGTCTCCAACAGTTATTATTTTTTCACTCCTGAATATAGATTTGGACCCATTTTGTCTTTGGATGTCAAGCTTTTCCTCATCTCTAACAAACTATCCATTATTATTAAGTTTAAATTCATATATGTGGGCATTTGAAGTATAAACTTTAGGTGTCAGCCAAAACATATGCATAAAATTTATTTTATATCAAATTGTGTGTATATGCACGGGTTTCTACACTTAATTGCAAATGCTTGTGGAGATCCTTTGGAAGTAGAATGACAGGCATTTGTGAGTTGTTCAAGAAGACTTATGGAGTCTTCTTCAGTGAGGATTTGAATATAGGGCAAACCCTCTAAACATAAATGTCAAAGCCTGTGGCCAGAGTTCTGACGCTCGAGTCAAAAGAACCAGCTTCCACCTCAAGTGAACAGGGACAGAGTCTGAGCCACTTTCTGTCTTCATAACTCCACCATAAACTTTCTGACTCGGTCAGTTCCTGCCACTATAAAATAGGGACAGATCACAGCTATATAGGACATAATTGTCTGAGAATTGATCTCTGCATCATAAAGCATGGAGCATGCATCCAGATGTACAGGGGATGGTAAATGTTAGCTTCCCTGCACTATGGCCTAAGCTGCATGTATCAATTTCAGAATGATGTCAAGGGAATCCCCCTACCCTGACTTTAGTCCAGTCATTCCCCTGTGGCACGCCCAGCCCGACCCGCAGGACAGACGGCAACCACACGAGGATTCTTCTCAGATCACACTTTATTGGAGCATTTCTTGGTTGAAGGGAGAGCTGAAGGTGAGGGGCCCTGGGGAGGAAAAAGCAGCTGCTTATATATGCTACTAGGCAACGGGTCGCAATCTCATAGGCTCAGAGGACCTCACCACAGCATTGGAGCCACGGGATTGACTAGGGAACGAGCAAGTGCACCGGAGTACTACCATCAGGCAGGCATATGCCCAAATAAGGTAAGGCACCGAGGGTGCAAGAAGGAGGAAGTTCGCCATCTTGTAATGGCGTTCTGCTGGCGGCTGCCCACATTCCCCTCCTTTTTTTTAATCAGAAAGTCATGTCCCACTGAACAAGGTTTTCATCAGCTATCCTAGATCAACGAGCCACCTAAGACAGGCTAGTAGTGAATCTCCAGAGAATCTGACAAAAAGTGATGGGTGTCCTCCATCTTCAAGTTCTTACATGCAGAGAGTGTGTTAAACCCTGGAAAAATCACAGCTCCTGTGAAGCTGTTGTTTAGGACCCAGAGTCATCTAATTATATTTCTGACTTGACTCAGTGTCCTGTGTTTCTTACTACCTCTCATGAGAAGGACTTTGGGCTCTGAAACACATGATTTTTACCTGGTTTGGGAGTCTGCGTTTTCACTGATGGTGGAAGAATAGAGGCAGAGATTCTGGTTGATGTCTGAACATCTGTGGGTCTTGTTGAAATAATTATATGTTTTGTTGTAGTTGAGGGTCTCCTTAGAGTAGTTGTAGATTTTGTGGTTATTGTGGGTATCCTTGAAGTAATTATAGGCTCCATAGTAGTTGTTGGCCTCCTTAAAGTAGTTATGGATTTTGTTGTTGTTGAGGGTCTCCTTGGAGTAATTTTGGGGTTCCTTGGAGTAGTTCTGGGACTCACTGGAGTAGGTATGGGTCTATTGATAGGTTTGAATCTGCTTGTAGTTGTAAGTCTCCTTGAAGATCTTGTTGGAACTCCTGAATATGAAAGCAAGGGTCAGCCAAACGAGAAGAAAGAAGAGCCTTTGATACATCCACTCTCTAGCACATCAGTGAGAGGCTCTCACTGGGCAGAGGCTCCTCTCCCGAACTCTAGGATTTTGTCACTGTCCAACTTGAACATGGCAGGACAGGGCAGTGGAACCAGCTCACCCCTAGGAGGCAACTGCCCTGACAACATGGAGATGAGAACAGAGTCCCTGTTCCTAAGGACACACTTTACAAATGACAGGTGTCGGGTCCTTAGATGTCTAAGTATCTCAGTGACACTGAGAGGGTGTGGGGCCCTGGGATTAATCATCTTCCTCTCAGGGGTGATAGACTTTACCCACAGACTCCACACTCAGCACGTTCAATTCAGTCAGCCCTGGAAGGACACACCACATGGTGCTGCATCATAGCCAAAAGCTAACAAGGCTAGTTGGCCTATGGGAGATGCCATGCAAGCTGTAAGGCCCAACGCTAAAGGATTTGCACATTTGGGTAGAGAGTGGACACAGTCATCTATGGTTTCTTCTAATCTGAGAGAAACAGGATGAATACCCCTTATCCAAAAATGCTAGTTGCCCAGAGATTCAGAACTTGGACTGTTCTGAAAATTTTATAATATGTGCATATAGCTTATGATGGGGCTCTAGTATATATATATACTATTCACAAGCACATACTTTACATTAATAGCTTACAAGTAAATTATAAATTTTGATAATTACACACATGAAATCCCACAGTATTGGAGCACTGGAGATTTTGGATTTGGGAACAAGGCATTCAACCCATAATTCTCAAATCAAGAAAATCAGGACTGCTGTATGACTCCAAACTGCTTACTGATGGTCTGAGAGCACATGGAGACTGCAATTAAGGAAAAACCCTGTCTGAAAGGAAACAGTCAAGTGAGGATTCCAACAGGGGCACGTACTGTTTTTTGTCATTTTTCATTGTTTCCCCATGAGCAGCTCCCTTCATTCGTAACTCTACTGTCTATAAAGAAAGATCTGGAAACTGGGATGAACACCATTGAAAAACTCATTTCTTTAAAGGATATGATGTAGTTTGAAAGCCAGCAGAAGTAACATTCAGCCCACTTTTAAAATTAAAAATTATGTGTATTCATTTGTTTCTGCTGCTCTCTCCTCTCTTTCTCTAGTGAATAAAACCCTCTGAAAAATAAACAAAACAAGAAACTTGCACATTTGAAACTCCTCATAAGGTGTGCTCTCTCTCTCTCTCTCTCTCTCTCTCTGTGTGTGTGTGTGTGTGTGTGTGTGTGTGTGTGTGTGTGTGTGTGTGTGTGTCCTTGTAATTTGCTATGGCCAATGTGTTGAAGTCAGAGGAAAACGTGACAGAGTTGGTCGCACCCTCTACAAAGGAGGTTGCAAAAGCTAGATTCAGGTCATCAAGCTATGCCAAAGGTACATTTACCCCCTCAGCCATCTCACTGGCCCGCAAGTGTCTGTCCTGTAGAGGGACAGATAATAAGCGTCTTGGCTCAGGAACCAAAGCATATGTGTTGTAGAGCAAACACTCTTGTCACTCAGCTTGAAAGTCACTGCTGGCAGCACAGCAAGGAGTGGGTGTGGCTGTGCTGCAGTAAAACTATTCACACCAGAGTGACTGGTGTGTTACAAACCTGGCCCGCCAGCCTATGGTTTGCTGAACCAGGCTAATGTGTGGGCAGAGGCTTGAGCATAGTAAAGACCCTCTCGGGAGAGTAAACATCTCTGAAGGACAGAAAACACATGTGTAAAATCTAGTCAGATCACAACAAGAAAAACCAGGAATGAAGCCATTCTCTCAGGAGCTTTGCTGTTCTTGCTGTAGGGGATTTTGCTCCCAGATAGATGGGAAAGTCCAAAAGAGGGGATGATGGCCTGAAATACGTGGGACAATGTCATTAAAACATGGGAAAAAGCAACTAGGCACTGGTGAGCCATGCCTTTAATCCTAGCACTTGGGAGTCAGAGGCAGGTGGATCTCTGTGAGTTCGAGGCTAGCCTGAAATACAGAGCAAGTGCCAGGATAGGCTCCAAAGCTACACAGAGAAACCCTGTCTCAAAAAAGCCAAAATAATAAATAAATAAATAAATAGAAATCAAATGTTTAATCAGAAGCATGTGTATAAGAACCTTCATTTCCTTGTTCTAGATAAAGAACAGATTACTAGCAAACAGAGGAGTCGGTTCACTTGCAAGACAGAAGCAAAGCAGCAAGGCCACCTTACCTGGCTGAACTTTCAGTGAGATGGTCATTCTCTGTACACCATTGGGTCCCTTCATTTCCACTCGACAGCAGTAGAGACAACTGTCACTCTCAGTGGCAATCTCTATTGTCAAGGACTCATCTCCTTCAAGAAGCTGTCCCTTCAGCTGGTAGCAATTGCTTGTCCAATAGTAGATCCTGTAGCCATCAGTCCACATAAGTGTTTGTCCACATGAATCCCCACATTCCCCTTGGCCCCAGCACATGGATGAGATCCCATGAGACACTGCGTAAGCACATGGGAGTGTCACGGGGTGACCCACCACTCCGTGTACTTCTGGGAAAGAATCCAGAGCAGCTGTGATTAAAAAAAAAATGGAGCATGAGCACTCATGATTTGCCTACAATTGAATTTTACTTCTTCATTTCTCCCAATTTTCCTTTTGGCTCAACCCAGGCCTAACCCTGGGGCCTAAGGCATGGAGGACATGTGTTTCATCACTGTGTTCTAGCCCCAGCCCTTCTTTGCATTTTTCTTTGTAGAGTTTTCACAGCTTAACATTTTCACTATAAACAATTTTCTGTTAGCTTCTTCTTCAGTGATTCTGTAATGTTATGTGTGTGGATAAAGCAACTCACTGCACTGTGTGACAGTCACACTATATCTTTTTAAATCCTTCTGTATTTATTTATTTCCCTTTCTTTCTCTCACACTCTATTCCTTTTTCCCCCACCCCTATTCCTTTTTCTTTTTGAGACAGAGATCACTAGGTAGTTATCACAGGCCTAGAACTCTCTATGTAGACTAGGCTAGCCTGTAACCCAAGGGCATCCACCTTTAACCCTGTCTTCTCACTGCCAGGATTAAAGGCACGCACCGCCATGCCTGGCCTACTGGTTTGTCTTTAGACAGGATCTTGCTCCGTAGCCAAGGCTGGCTCGTGCTTACTATCCTCCTGCCTCAGAATCCTGAGAACTGGGACTTCAAGTGTGTACCACCGCCATTAGCTCTAATTCTTGAATTTAAGATGTTAAATTCTGCTCTCCCAGAAGCTGTGCATGATGGTGGGCGCCTGCCAAGCTGGGATTCCAAGGTGAGGTCAGGAATCCAGTGAATTCACAACCAGCCTGGGCTTATGAGACCCTGCCTCAAACCATCTTTACTCTGATGCTACTGAAAAGGAAACTACTAGCCTTACCCACCTCTCCTATACAAAACCCGGGTTTTATTTGCAGCATTGTTGGTGTAAAGGCAGAACTTTACTAACTTCCACTTCAGTTTACAGAATGGCTTTTGTTTGCTCATAAGGTTTTCATGTCTTTGTTTTGAGACAAGGTCTTGCTGTGTAACCCTTGCCTAGCTTCAGTATTTAGAATTCTGTATGTAGAACTGGCTGCCTGAATTCATGGAGATCTGCCTGCCTTTACCTCCCCAGTGCTGGGAGTAAAGCAATGCACCACCAGGGAAAGCTCACAATGGATTTTGTAATACCATCAGGGGGACTGAGGCTTTAGCATCAATTCTTTAAAAATTAAAAAAGAAATACAAACCTGAACAAGGATCCCTGAGTATATGTTAACATTCCAGAAACTCAACAACAATCACTTATAAAGGGCAACCACAAAAATCAGAATAAACCAAGAATACATCAAGAACTAAACCATGCAACTTTTTAAACCTAAAATAATAATTTTCATATGCATCTGTTAAGATACAAATTGCTTCCAAGTAAGGGAGATCTGAGAGCTGAAGATGCAACACAAGGATACCATGTTCACCTCACCCAAGCTAGCCCCTGGGTTGGATCCTAGTACAGGGACAAACAGATAAGCAAACAGCACAAATCAGTGACTTGCAAGATTCACTAACTAGTTTCTTGTCTTCAGGTCTAGGCTGTGAGTGTGGGACATGGTTTGAAAGAGGACATTCCATGTTCTATAAAATGGGTGTGTAACTGGTATGTGTTTCTCACTGGGACACTCGTCACTTGATTTTGCCTAATAATTTTTTTAGGATAACAAACATAATACACATTATAAGAAAATTATAGAAATGTCTGTTAAGAATTAACGACCCTCCACAATTCCAGTTCCCAGGGATTAGATTGTAAAGTTAGAATTGTACCAGATGAAGGGGCTCACACCTATAATTTCAGCTCTTGAGGGGTAGGGAAAGGAGGATCTTAGCTGTCTATTATGTCTGAAGGCAGCCAAGGCTATCCTGTACCCTGTCTCAAAAATTTAATATGCACTTCACTATTTTTTCCTATATCACACAGTGTTTTTAGTTACTATTTTAGTTAAGCAGTTGAAGATGAGTGGTTTTTAACAGCATATAGGACAAATGAAGATTAGGTTGCCCTTTAATGTCCTTTCTTCAGCCCTCATGCATTGACTACAGCATGCATGTACATGTACTCACTCTAACTTGAATGTAGCATGCATGTACATATATTTGCCAGTTACCTGACAGTCTTGTGGGTCTTATTTAATTCAGATAGATTAAGAAATTTCTTTAGAGCTAAAATTTCATCTTGGTTCCTTGCTGTAATACAGATCCCAGAGAACTTACTTTTCTTCTGAACCTCTGACCTCCTAGCTGTCCCTAGCTCACCTTTCACTTACCTGGGAGAAGGAGGAAAAGGCCTGAAATGAGGACTTGAGGATGCATCAGGATGTTGACCTGAAGGACAACGACAAGACACTCTGGTTGGCTGTCACACTCATCTCATGGAATCTGGACAGATCTTAATTCTCAGAACTTATCCTTGCACCCAGGTAGAGTGAATTATGTGGGCCTGCTCTGCTGGCAATGAGAGAAACCCATAATCAAAAGCATCTCAGGCTCTGGAAATCCCCCATGGTGGAGGTCTCTGTGCCTTCTCCTGGAAAGGAAAGCTGTCCTCCCAAACAGCCTCCTTCCTGGTCCCCACATATAACTGTCAGTCTCACTCCTGGTCTTGGCACAAGTAAGACAGCAATCAGAAAAAACTTGAAGGCAGAGATAAGAGTGTGTTCCCTGGGTGGAACCCTAAGCAATGACAAACCTTGTAATGGCAGTGTACTTGCCCTCTGGTGAACTAGAGGCTGTCTCTGTTCAGTAGTCACAGTAGTTGATCTCTAAGCCTCAATATTGTGTGTGTGGTAGTGTGTATGTGTGTGAGCATAGGTATAGGAGGAATGTCTGTGTCTTCTATGTCTCCTGGGAGAGTGGTTATGAGCCTCCCAACATGGGTGCTAGGAACTTTTCTCAGGTTTTTGGTAAGAGCATTGGACACTCTTAACCATGAGCCATTGCAGCAGCTCAATATTAATATTTTAATGAGAGTAGTATTTGTTCAGATTCTCTCAGTGCCAGTCTATTAGTGGTTACAATGGACTACAATGGAAAACTTCAAAATCCCAGTCTTTGGCCTGTATGGGACAATGAGCATAGGCACAACACTTCCATTCTTCTCAACTCATCTTGCTAATAATGAACATAATTGAGAGAGAAGGGACTTTAACACCTGGACCAACCCTCTCAGTTTACAGGTAAATAAACTGCACTCCAGGGATAATAAACTTTGGAAACCAGGAGTCCCTGGAGCAAGAAGAGAGGGGAGACCTGGCTCTTAATATAACCCTGGATGCTTAAATTGTCCTGGTAAATGTTTCCTAGCAGCCCATGCTGAGAATGGTGTAGATGTGTAGATGAAAGAATACATCCAGCCCACAATATACTTCTCCATCTGGCAACTGCTTCTCCATCTGGCAACTAGAGAGTAGTATGTTGTTCAAACAAGTGTTCTAGAAGCAATTATGAATTATCAGGGTGTCCTTATTCCTAAAAACCAAATAAATTAATAAGCCACCAATAAACCCACCATGAATGGTCTTCTCAAGACACTGAGGACAACATCACCAATCTGTTTGGGGATAAAACTTCTGGCCCATTACTGTCTGTGTGGGTGTAAGCTGCTGCCCCCACACCCATTTGGAGGAAGATGGATGGGTCACAGTGATTTAATCACATTAAGCTTTACTAAATGGAGTTAGGACGATCATTTCTGATTTAAGTTGGGTGTTATTTTTTGTGTTTCTTGTTTTGTTTTGAAACAGAGTCTTACTATGTAATGCACGCTGGCCTGAAATTCCCATGTAGTCAAAGATGATCATGAACTGATTTCTCTTCCTCCTCTGCTGCTGGATCACAGGTGTGTGCTGCCTCCTGGGATTTCTGCTGTGCTGAGGAACCAACCAGGGCTTCATGCATGCCTGGAAAGCCCTCTAAGACCGAGCTGCATCTACAGCCTGAATTTTAACATGTATTATATGTTTCGGTCACTCTAGCTTCCTGTCTGCTTGTAGGATTTCTCCTGGTACAGTCACCTATTTTCCTGGCTGTTCCCTCTCTTAGAACACATCTCTCTGAGGGTTTGAAAAGCTGCCTCATATCTTTCAGTCTCCAGCTTGAATTTGTTGTGTATAACACCAAATTTCTAGTCTAGTTACTGTCTTGAATAGCTCATTACAAAATAACTCCTACCTCAAAAATAGCCACTAAGAGCATGTCAATCCTTAGGAGCCTACACAATGCTTCACTCAGGTCTTTTGATGTGTAACAAGTGGAAAATGTACATTGAATTCATAACATGTAAGGTGAAAGAATGTGAACATTTCTTAGTGATTTCTCTATTCCATGTTGAGATTAAAATACTTATACTGTGTTATATATAATGCTGTCTAGACTCCAATCCAAGACCTCCCACAGCTCCTGAGCCCTAGGCTGAACTGCCCATGCCAGGAACACATGTATAAAATTTATGCTGTATTAAGTCAAATAGTCTTGGATGGGGACCTTCCACAGGACCTTCTGCTTAATAACAATGCATATTTATGGAAAATATCCACATTTATTGAGACTATATGACTTAAAATATTTTCAAGAAATACAAGTAAAAAGATAACCTATTTCACAGGAAACCAATTTTGTAGTCATCACAACCCTATGGCAATACATTTGCATGCATATGTTGGAATGTTTAAATGCCATGGAAAGAATCCACCAGATTCCTCAACATATTTGGTGGAGTAGCATGGTGAAAAATACTTCTAGCTTGAAGTTCTATTCTCTTTTCTATATTTGTGAAAAAATTATTTGAGTGAGAGAGAGAGAGAGAGAGAGAGAGAGAGAGAGAGAGAGAGATTCAGCTGCCGTCATGTTCCTCATATGATGAACTCTACCTTCTAACTCTTTCTCCCTTAAAAGAATCAGAATAATGTTTTAAATGGCAAGTTTCTATGCATTGCTACAAAGGTGGAGGGTCTTTTCATTAACATGGTGTAGTTTTCTAATCTTAACTGTGAGCCTCCCTTTATTCCAGGAAGACAGATTATCCCACAGTGACATGGGCAAGCTTGTGGAATGATGGAAGATTACATGAACACAAGGGCTGCACTGATACACACATTTTCCTCAACCAATAGAAATTCCTTCAGTCACCATGTGTTTATCTGGGGTGCAGTTGTTAGGACCTGTCATATGTATCCTTTCATGAAATTCCCAACTCATTTGTTTTGAACAGCTGCTCATCTGGCCATTTTTATTCCCCATGAGTCAGTGGAATTTAAGCAATGGTAAGGCTGAGGATTTGTGTCTCCAGAAAAAAGAGATAAGGAGGACATAGTCCAGAACTCCTTCCCATGTTCTTCAGAATGTAATGGCAGCAGGTCCGCTCCATGATCACTGTGTCTTGCTGCAATCCTTTGCCTGCATCTTAAATTCCCTGCTGCATTCTGGCTTCCTAGAGGGAAAAACTCACGAATCTTTCAATCCATGGTGCACAGCTGGGCTTTGCAACGCAGCATGCAAGTGCTCATCCTTCCAACCATAGCACAGACCCTGATTTGACCAACTTTGATTCGGGCATTATGTAGGCTCCTATAGTATGGCATGCAATTAGTGACTAATTCTGCTGCCCAAGAAATAAACTGGACTAGGGAGAACATATTGTTGATGTAGACAACAAATTTAAAATGGAAAGTGGAAGATATGAAGCATATCTTCAAACCATCAGACAGACGTATCCTTTAAAAAAAAGGGGGGGGGTATGAAACATGTATGGAATCGGTGCAGGGACCAGAACTTGGGCTGTCCTAGAAGCAGACAGGAAGTCAGTCAGTGTGGCTGAAACAGAGAAGATGAGGAGGGGTTGGCAAAGGCAGGAGAAAGGCAGTCTCCCTATCTCCTCAGAAAGTAGCTAAAAGGTCCTCAACAACAGAGTAGGTGTACCTGACTGATAATCTTAAAGAAAAGAGATGGAATACTTAGGCTACCATGTTACGAATGTGAAACACTAGAAGATCAAGGGTAGAGTAGAGGCCCCCAGTTAGGATACCGATTCCTAGAATGAGGAGAGAAGACAGGCGTGAGAAGGATGAGCATAACAATCACTGGGATTCCAACACAAAACTGGTGAGAATGCTTGACCTGGATGATTTACCTAGTGTGACTCTGCTCTGGGCTTCTCTTGTTGATGCTTATTAGTTTGTTGCATCTCCAGCCTGGCTCCTCGGCCACCAGGCTCCTGACAGCTTGTTTTGGGGTGTGTACTCTTACACCCAGTTTAACTGGATTCTTCATCCAAATTTGAAAAGGGAAACCCAAATGGAAAGGATCATGCTGAGATAAAAACTAAAGATTTCTAGGGATTGGAGTATAACTTACTAGAGTGTCCAATACAAACCAAGCCCTACCTTCAAGACCCAGCATGGTGTTGCACACCCATAATCCCCAGCCCTTTGGAAGTAGAGGTAGAAGGATCAGAAATTCAGGGTCTTCAGTAACTGCAAAAGAACTTCAGGGACAAAATGAGGAACAAGAGACAGTCTCAAAATGTTTGTATGTTTTTTAACATGATCACCTTATAAAAATATATGCATCTGGGTATACACTCGCTGCTATATTTGTTTAAAATATGTTATTGTTTCACAGCTATAGTGGTTTAAAAAGTATCATACCCTCTGGCCAAAAAAGTTCACCTCTAGAATTTTAAACCTTAATAACATTTAAATGTGCATAGGCTTGGAACAAAGCATATATCTTTCAACCATATTGGAAACAACAACAACAAAAAAAAAAAATCTGTGTCTAAGGAATTGGTTCAATAGAGCACATGCATTTATTTCACTCCACACTACACATCCATCTTAAAAAAAAAAAAGTATTATCTAAGAAGAAAGTGGAAAGTTATAATATGCAATCATTTGTGTATAAACAAATAAAGACTTATGGAAGACGCACTGTGGGTCACAGGAATTAGGCCCTAGCCCCATGTGTCTGCTGAGCACCCACAAAGTCAACAGTCAAGGTTGAGATATGTTATAAATGTAAAATGCTCACTGACTTCCCAATGCCTACAGTCAGAGTGTGGGTTCTTCCTAGTGATTTTTCTATCACTTTCATGCTGAAATGACAAGGCTTACAGTGCACTCTGAATTAAAGAAAGTTTATTTTTAAAAAGTAATGTCACTTATTTCTGTTTTTAGACATTTATTTATTTGTGTGTGGATTGCTGTGAGAGTGGATACACATGTATGTACACTCGGGTGTGGATACATGCTGATGAAAGACAAGATGCTGGTATCTAGTGTCCTCCTCTATCACTCTGCCTATTCCTTAGAGTCAGGATCTGTCCCTGAACTAGGGCTTCATGATTCTTCTGTTAGACTGGAAGCCCAAAAAAACCACAGCAATTTCTGTCTTCCCCTCCCCATTTTAAATTGGGATCTGAATGTTCCTGAGATTGGGTCTTCTTATGTGGATGCTAGGATGCCCAGTCTGGCCTTCGTCATTGTCTAACTGTTGAGCCTTCTCTCAAGCCCTATCATTTGTTTCTTTTAAATATGGATAGTTGAAAATTAAAACTGCTTACATGCAGTCCTCATTGTATTAGTACTACTGGATGTGGTCTAGAAGTATAAAGCAATTCCACATACCTCTCTTGGGGGTTTGTGGGAATGATAAATAGGAATCCCAATGTGAAAGTTAAACTCTGCCTTTTTTGAAGTTTGTGTGGCTGGTTTTTATTTATTTTGAGATGAGGTCCTTGTAGCCTAGGAACCTCAGTCTCTGTAGATGAAGCTGGACTTAAATTCTTCATCTTTCTCTAAAGCATCAGATTGCAAGTCTGCATCACCATGTTTGTCTTTTTCACTGTATGTTTTTATTTTTTAACTATTTCACATAGATTATCGTAATATCTGCATGTTATTTAGTCACTTATGTCCATTTATTTATGTATAACATGGAGCTGTGCCCCCCCTCGCCCCCGCCCCGGTGTTGATTTGGAGACAAGATCTTGATAAGTAAACCAGGCTGACATCATAGCAGCAAGCCCTCTGCCTAGTGCTGCAATTCCATTTATGTGCTGGAACTGTACTCATGTGCAATCACACCCAGTATTCACACTTGAGGAACCAATCCCATGACTTCTAGTAAGGAACATGACTCAGTTAACAATATCATGCCAGTTTCTTTGTTTTGATCAAGGTTCCATGGTTCAAAGGTTCCCGGGTTCCACAATGCTGACTTTAGAGGGACACTTGCAATTTTGCTGCAGGTCCAAATTCTTTCAGGATAAAACATTGAACAACAACAACAACAAGGAAATAAATAATCCAAGGAGATCTGTATCTTCCCAGACTACAGTAAACAATTACCTTCAAGCAGGCTGCCATGCCCAGAGTGTTCTTGTGACACCTTGACTGGAAAGAAGCAGATAGAAGGGTGTGGAGCATCAGATTTCATAGTCTTTTCCTGAATTTCCAGGATGATGAAGCTGTTGCACACGTATCAGGAACTATTAGCCTGAGGAGGATGGTTGATGTCATCCTGCAGAGAACTTTGAGGCCTGGAGCCGTAAGACCTTGAAGCCCCTCACCCTCAGCACCGAGTCTTCCTTCCACCACAGCTCAGTCAACTCCAGGTAAGAAGAGTTTGATGAAAGTCTATAGTGAATTTTAGCAAAACCAAATCGCTCCAGCCCAGCAGGGGGTGCTGATGTAGGAATCCATTATAGAACAAACATCTAGGGAACAATTTTCCTAGACCGCCAAGATACTTTTACTTTTAACTGAAGGATTTTATGTGTAAGTTCAGCTCACAGCTGAGCAGAAATAACATCAGTATGTGATAGATGTCAGGATGGGAGATACAGGGATGGTCATAGAAATGATGTTTGTAATAGCATATGTTTGCAGCATGCTAAATGTGTACCAGTGGGGAGTTAGGTGAATAAGTGTGATGTATCCATATTATAATCATGAACCTGATAGATTGACACAGTGGAGAATACACTCAGTCACAATGCTAAGATGAACATCAAGGTACAGATCCACACCATGTACAGAAATTCTTTCCAGGAGCAGCAAAGTGTGCCAAAGGCTTTGATTTGGGGACTCTAGAAGGGGGAGCATGGGGATGGGAAGAGCTGAAAAATAGAATCATGATTCCATCCACATCCTATAAGGCTTCACTGCTTTCCTGTATAGCTGTTCACATATGAATGTTATAGAGTAATTAATGTTAAACAACAAAACAAGCTCCAAGTTGTTTGAAATGTACAAGGTTCTCATTTGTCAAGTGTGTTTTATCCACTGTGTTGAGACAGACAGAGACACACAGAACCACAAAGACAGAAACTGAGTGAGTGAGTGAGTGAGTGAGTGACTCCTTTTTGGCTGGAAAACAAACCATTTGCTCAGATCCCAGACAGGTAAGTCATTTTTCTGACTGTCAGCTTCCTTTAACCCTTCACTCCATGTTCACAGAACTGGTCCATAATTCTCCCCACCATGGTGGTTCTGACCTGGAAGATTCAGGACCTAAGGCTTGGGAACTGAGAACAAGGCAACCTCACAGGTTCTGACTCCAACCAACTAACCCAGATTCCCTGAATTCTCTGTATCCAGCCTGACATAAACTTATGCAACCCAATCTGGGATGGAAATCATGACAGTCCTCCTGCCTCAGCTTCCTGTGGGCTAAGATTACTCGTGTGAAATGATATCCCTGACATGTTTTTGGTTTAAGAAATGTCTCATTGCACAGAATGGCCTAGAAATTATTTATGTAGCTTGATTTGGCTTTACCTACCCTTTCACTTCTATCTTAATCTTCTGAGTTCCAGGATTATAGCCATGTGAAATCATAGTAAGATTATGTGTATATTATATGCAACCACATAATAATGAACCATATTTCTGGAGTCATGAGAATTAGACTCAACTACCATCTATTTATCTATGAGAAAAATTAAAACCTGGATTTCCCTTGATTTGATTCCCTCAGTGAAGGTAAGGAAAGTGACATTTTGAGTTACAATAAAATGAACATGATATAATCTCAAAGTTCTTCTAAATTAAGTTCCTTCTTTTAATTTTATAATCCTATTCCTCTCTCACAAATGGTTTTAGTATCCAAGATAAAAGTCCATTTCCTGAATTACCAATGATTGTCTTTCATGGATACAAGAATTATGAGGTCTAAAGAAAACATCGAAGTTCAAAGCGTTCATGTTTGAGAGAACACTTCCTAATGACTTGAGAGACTAAGCATGTCAACAATGAGTAAGGGTACAGACAGCAAGAGGGCCATCCTTTCCATAAATGGTTGCAAATGGGGATACCAGATAAATTGACACAAAAAATATCCTTGGAGATTAAAGGGTGTCCAGTGTGGTCATATCCAACTGGTGTCTGCTGCAATTGCAGGAGGATGGCCTTCAGTGAGCAACTGTGACTTATTCCTTGACATGAAGACTGTCTTCTATAATGTAGACAGCATCTTCTCCTCGGGGCCTCAAGACCACTGTATTTTGCAAAGCTCTGATCTTAGAGATATGGTTTATCAAGCTGCAGAGAGAGAAAGAGAGGTGTTGAAGACAAGAAGAGGTCACCTTTCAGGTCTGAGCAGAGCTTTTATTTATGACCCATACCAGAACTTCAGGAGCCCCATTCACAAAAACTGTAACAGTGAACAACAGCAGCACACAAGGCCCTGGCATTAAGTCAGAAAAACACTTGTTTAATGAGCATCAAAGAAACCAAGAGCTATTTTTAAAAATATCTGCTCATATTGACATCATTCACAAAAGTGGAAGATCTAAAAAGACAGCTATCTAGCACCACAGTTAGTTCTCTAACCAAGCTGTGCATGTGCAAACTGGGCTAGGAATTGGATGCCTGCTGTGTTTACAGGTTTGGATGGTGACCCTGTAGAAAGCATTAGGAGTGGCAGGGGACCTGGATTAAATCCTTAGATCCTATATAAAGGAAGAAGACAAGAACCCGCTTCACAAAGTTGTCCTCTGACTGCCACACGTGTCATGGAACCTGTGCACGTACATACACGCAAACCATCACCACCACCCAAAAACAAAAATACACATTTTTTTCTTTTTGCTTAAAAACATGCAAAGTTTTGAAACCTCTAATATTAAGCATGGAGTAGAAAAACATGTCAAGTAATGACTGCATGACACACATTCGCAGACACCGCATGCACACTAATATCAGACACTGGACTGAAAGGAATTTGGGGAGAGGACTGCAGATGTTTGCAGCTGGCCCACCCCAACAGCTGTGGGAGGGGTTTCACTTGGAGAGCTCATTCTGTGACTGTGTTAATCAGGGTAGTCACAGTGGACTCATGTTCAAGTTTCTAGAACTCATGGAGGAGCAAATCAGAGATGAAACGAGACTAATTTTAATCCCTGTGACATTTTTAAATAGCTGAGTTTTGTCATTTGAACACAGTGCCATTTCTAGTGCTGAAATGGAACCAAAATGAACACCTCCAGTTGGCCACATGAGGATATCCTTGCCCAGAGAATCACAAAGAAGATGGGGAAAAGCACGTGTGTGGAAACTGTTGGGTCAATAAGCTGTGATCAGTCAGTGTGACATAAGTGACAGAAAAAGTCATGAGGAAATGTCCAAGACATATTAAATAGAGGATTGGATTTGTTTGTCTGTTTTATTGGTTCTGGTGTGTGTGTGTGTGTGTGTGTGTGTGTGTGTGTGTGTGTGTGAGAGAGAGAGAGAGAGAGAGAGAGAGAGAGAGAGAGAGAGAGAGAGAGAGAGAGGAATCACTAAGGCTCACTGATTACCAGGCTATCCAGTCACAACAACAAAAAAAAAAAAAAAAAAAAAAAATGAAAAAATTTAAAAAATAAACCTTTAGTAAAAAAAAAAAAAAAAGATACTTTCACTGTGAGAAATCAAAGGGCTAAATGAATGCTGGTTTGGGGCAGTGGGTTTTTCCTATAAGGAATATTTTCTTTCCAGTCTCAGAAGCAGCTAGTGAAAGGAATTCTGAGCATGGATTCCTCAGACTGAGGCCGCTAAACTCTGCAGTGTAATCTGGGACACCCTTTCACATATCTGGACCTATTTTCCAATCTGTAGGATACTTAGAATAATAGTATAGTATCTGTAACATAGTCATTACTGAGAAGAATGCGATAGAAACAATATCAGGCAAGTGTACTAGGCATTTATGATGTGCCAGAAACCATTGAAAACACACACACATCATCACATTGGCTCGCGTGGTTAACTCAGACACAGAGAAGCCTTTGTAGAAACAGCCCACAAAGGAGAAGTAGGTGTAGTGAACAGTAGACAGAGGGCTGTGGGTTTTGATTTTAAAATGGCCCTGTGTAGAGACAACTGAACCAAGTGAACCAGACTAGATGATTTTATAGCAATGTAGACAACTTCATGTCGTGGAGAAGGTACAGGGGAGTTTCAGAGGAGAGCCCAAAAGAGCTTCAAAATACAATCAATTAAAGAACCTACAAGGCAGACAGCTACTATAATTGAGCGAAAAGAACTCGGTATGAACAGGAGAGGCTGTGGGTTGCCAGGGTTCTTTGCACTCCCTGCTTCTACAGGAATTATCAAGCTCCAAATCTCCTGCCCTCACAGGACTCACTCAAATAGCCAATACTTACCTGAAAGCATCTAAAATGACCTGCTATTAGCTGCCATCATTAATTTTAATATTTTTATATCTATTTTATGTATATTAGTGTTCTTTCTGAATGTGTGTATATGGGTTCCACATGCATGCCCTTCAGTTATTGGTTTTTTTAAAATATATCTTATTTTTAATTATGTATACATGTGTGTGGATATGTGCACATGAATGCAGGAGTCTGTAAATGTAAATCCCTACCCATATGGAATGGAATTTCAGACTATTGTAGATGCTGGAAGCTGAGCATCTACTGAGTGTCTCCAGCCCTTTCATCATCTTTAATACAATAGGTATCCAATGAAAGACTCATCAAATCACAGAGCAACGCTTTCAATACCAACTCCAGGAAGCAAAATCTACTATTCAGCCCTTGCTACAAGTTGTCAGAACTGATGCGCTCCTTCAGTACCAGCTCAGACACAAAGGTAGGGAATGCAGAATGCTCACTTCTCCCCGGGAGGTATGGTAGCAAGACAGGGGCTCTGAAAACTAATTTTAGACTCCAAGGTGAACAATAGCAGCCAAGCAAGGTGTCCCTGCTTAGAAGAAGTAAAGGAGGAAGAGAAAGGGGAAAGAGGAGGAGGGGAAAAAAACACAGAAGAGATCTGCAAAATTGTGAGTAGAAAAAAAAATTGGCATAAGCCATGCCCACTTACCTCAGTGATCCCGTCTTCTTTTTCACATGGTAGTATTCTAA